TCATATTTTTTTTTTCAGTGCCATGGTAACTTTGAATGGTCACTAAATGAACTGTAGTAAGTTGAGGACTACCTATATTTTGACTGAAGATTTATTTCTGGATATAATTAACTGGTTAATTCTGCTGTTAGGTAAGGGGACGGAATAGTACAGCATATATTATGCATTAAAAAGTCTAGGACTTAATATTAGCAATTTCATGAAGGTCTGGAAGACATTTCTGTTTTAGATTTCTGAAGAACAGTTATTAGTGTAATACTAATCTGAATGGACCAAGAAGTTATGATATAATGGTGCTGTTCATGAATGCAGGAAAATATGTCAATATACAGTATATTTTATGGGCATTTCATTTCTGAGCAGCAAGGCTGGGGCTACGGTGCTTATTTGGGGTTCAGTTTCCTTGAAACAAGGTAATTGAACATTGATGCCTTTTGGTGATAGTTACATATTTACACAGATGTGCAAGTAGCAATAGCCCTTAGACTTATAACCGCTTTCCAGTGCTTTCCAGAGTCAGCATATTGCCCCCAACAATCTGTGTCCTCATTTTTACTCACCTTGGAAGGATAGAGAGCATAAGAGCTTCATAATATTAGCATTCTGGTAGATTTTTGTTATATCCCGTTTGATTTCTAAGGAATCCTACAACATGCCATAAAGCTTAGTGCTCTTTCAATCTCTTTCCTTTAATCGTTGCCTAATGTATGTCATTTGGACACTTGAATATTTGTGTAGAGAAATCATAATGAGAAAACACCTATTATTGTTCGAGGAATCTCTTATAAAGAACATAAGCAACCTTTTGGTCCATTGAAAGGCAGCTATCAGATTATTTATGGAAATGTCTGGTGGCGCATTCTCATAGGTAAAATTACTGGTAGAGGGACATAGAAAGCCTTCTCAAAAATTATAGAAAAAGAAACATTTTCTGAAAAAGTCATTAAATTCTTCTCTAAGTCACTTTACAGGCTGCCTGTTTGCTTGCTTATTCACTTATTCATTCAAATTAGCTACCTACTCATTCACCAAGCAATTCTGGACTCTTTAGACCAGGGGTCTCCAACCTTGGCAACTTTAAGACTGGCAGACTTCTGGCAGTTTAAGCCAGGCTTAAAGTTGCCAAGGTTGGAGACCCCTGCTTTAGACAATTACCTTAGAGCAGTTGCAGGCAATCTATATTTTGTGAGCCATGTAGAACCTAACTAACTTTTTTATTTGTTAATTTAGAGGTCCACCTCATTTTTCAGCAAAAAATAAACCGTCTTGTAAATTTAACGCACACCTTCTTTGTATAGCATCAGTGTGTGTTATGTATGCTATCATAAAGGCTCACAGTCCTTTAGGGAATGTTACTGCTTCAGCATTGTAGATCATTGTTAACCTTGCCAGGTAGATCAGAACAAAAAAAAAAAAAAGGAATTCCACAGGAAGGCTGAGAATAGTTATAATAACAGAAGTCTATTAAATCTAATTGTGGTGTAATTCCTCCTACATATTACAGTAAGAGATTTAATTAGGTGTCTACCTGAGTGACTTCCAGATATTATGTCTGTTGCCTGCTTAAACTATGTTCCATTCCCTATTGTCTTAAAGATTTTAGCTATCTCTAAGTAATCTCTCTAAGATTACAACCACACATTGATAATTTAATTTTTGGATTATTGTTTGGTGCTTTATGTGGTGCTAATGTTATATTTGGTTCAGAAATTAACAACTGATGCAGAATGGTGTGCCAAGGGTGTTCAGAATCAGAATCTGTGCTAACCATTTACTAGGAGCTGCCAGTTTAGGATTTTGCTATTGGCATAACAGTCTTTTTCATTCTTTTCATTCTTTTAATTGAATAACCATTTTAAAATGCTTTGTTTTATTATTCCTTTAATGTTTTAAGGCTTGTTTTAATTATAGGTAACCCTGAACTATTAAGTGAGCAAGTAGTATGCAGCTATTCTAAAAATAAATTTAAAAGCCAAGACATTTTGTAACCAAATTGCCTGGTAGAATGTTTTTGTGTCTTAGACCCAGGTGGCCAATGATTACCTACTATTTGAATTGGGATTTTATATGTGCTCTGTGGCAGAAATATGGTGCCTACTCTCTGAAATGTTTTCGGAAATGGCAAATCGGATGGAGTCTAGTTTAGACTCATATCTGCAGCCAGGCCTTCTTGTGTGTGAGCATTAAGGATATCTATCTGTGGTGTGTGTGTGTGTGGGAGGGGATTTTATAAGAAAGATGTTGCTTTTCCCAGAATTTTTTTTCTATTACACCTTTTCATTTCCATGGGCAAAGATACCAGACAATAGCAAAAAAATTAATGTACCAAAGACGATTGGTTGCTAGCCTTCTTTTTTTTTTTAGATTTATCATATTTCAGGAAATCTGCTATAGACTTCTCTACTGAAAATGATTCTGGATACAATTTATACACATTGTTCTCTAAAAGCAAAACTGTGAGGACAAAATAATTAATTCTCCATTCAATTTCAGACTTTTCATTTTTGGAAGCAGCAAAACATACAAACACACAAACATACCTTTTTTTTCTTCTTCCTTTTAATTGTGTTTGATTCTCAGAAACTGCCGGAACAAGTCCCAGCAGTTTTCTTAGCAAGGTTTTTCAATCATTGCCTCCTGTCTATGATTGAGAGAAAGTGACTGGCCCAAGGTCCTCCAGCTGGCTTTGTACCCAAGGAAGAACTAGAACTCACAGTCTCCCAATTTCTAGCCTGAAGCGTTAACCACTACATCAAACTGAGTACAAAGAAATACTTAACTAATATAAAAGTACAGTATATCCTTCTATCCTACATGTCAACCCCTCTCTGTATATTGGAATAATTATGTAGAGAGAATTATTTTAAAAACTATGAAAATTATGATTTGTTTTTTATAGCGGAATTTTAATAAATGAAAATACTCTCCTAAATGCTCTTTTTTATTTTTTACAATGGTCATAATAACAGAATGGATTTAAGGGACAGAAAATCATTTTGCCTTTCAGTATTTCACCAATAGTACATTTTCATTAAATTTTGGAAATGCTGTAAATAATGTATCTTGATTTTTTTAAAAAATGACAGCATACCATATGATATGCAAATCAGCAAGTTTCTGAATATGGACTGAAGTGCAATTCTCTTGAAAATTATATTTAGATATTGTGTCTCACCAATTTCGTTGAGTAAAGTGAAATTTTTACTTTGGTGAATGACAAAGGCTGCTTTCAAAATGAAACACAGGTTTCAGGAATTAGACAAAGCAAGCATACTCATCTCTCTCCTTAAGAATATGATTTTAAATTTTACTGAGAGAGTGGAGAAGGTTACTTATTTCCAATGAAATTATTTTATTTTGTAAAATTGTACAATTATGTCATTTTTGTATTTGATAAATAGCTTAAGTTTAATTATTCAAAGTACTTATTTCTTGTCTAACCCTAAACCAATGAAATTATTAGCTTTATTTGAGAGGCAATTGCATAAATTCATTCCAGCATTTTAGGGATCATTATCTGAGAATCCCTTAGTTAAAAAAAATGGGCTGAAAATTGTTTATTTAATAAAACATAAATGTATTTATATATAAAGGAAATATAAAATGATTCCATTAATGGCAATAATACTTGTGAACAAAACCATAAAAATGTAGATTACAAATTGTATATGAATTAATAGTGATTAATAGTAATAAATGCAATTAGACTGCATTTATAGCTTCAATATCATAGCAGGCAATAATGCTGTATTTTCCATTGGTCAGAACCAGAACGCATCCTTACTGCACACTCAGATTGAGACTACCCTGCTTTGTTGTCCATATAGAATACCTTGGAGGTTTCCTAGTCCAGCCCCCTGCTCTAGCAGGAGACTCTGTAACATTCTAGACAAATGGCTGTCCAGTCTCTTCTAGAAAACCTCCAGTAATGGAGCACCCACAACTTCTAGAGGCACGCTGTTCCACTGATTAATTATTCTTACTGATAGCTTTAATGGACAACATTTTGAGGGCCTTGATTTGTGGTTCCTTTGACAGATATGCCAGCTCCACCCAACATAATTCACTATGTGAAAATGTGGCATGCCTAATACTTTGGTCACTCCATGCAGTGCCTTTTTTAGTTTTTATTTCCCATCATATCATCAGCTAGCTGAACTTTTATTTTTTATACTTTGAACTTATGGCTTGGTTGGTTGACTGTTCAGCATATCAACCACTTGATAGCAAGCGAAAATTGAAGTGTTCCCTTGTCCCTCCATGTCTCTTGGCTGTCATCTTGTGACTATCCAAGATGAAGCTATTGAAGAACTGGAATTTGAGAAAGGATTTAGCAATGAAGACTGCTCTGAGAGCTGTAAACTATGCTGTGAACCTTAAGAATGTTACATGAGGAGAGGAAGCAGCAGACACCGGGAGAAAATCTCCCACTATGCAGTCACAAGTACAAGAGATGAATTCTTTCAATTACATTTTTGATTATATGGGTTAATCAAGGATAGGCTAGTTAATTTCAGGCTTTCGCCCACTAAAATAGAGATTTTCAAGCATTTTCTGACCATAGACTGTAGAACCTGTTAAAAAGCAGTTCCCAGAGCCCCTGATTAAAAGTCAAACCCTAGTGATAGAAACAAAACAAACAAAACTTGCATAAACATACATTATGCAAATGAATATACAGGAAACTTCCTTCACAAAAATAGATAGTGCAATTACAAGCAGTGGAATTGGTTTAACTTCTTCTATTTTCATTTTTTTGTCTGGACTGCTTACAGTTGTATTAGTTTGGAGCCAATGATGCATATCTGGAAAATATATATACATTACATAAGAATTTATATCCTCTCCCTCTCTCTCCCTCCCTCCCTCCCCCCCTCTCTCTTTCCCTTCCCTCTCTCCCCCCATTGGAGTCATAAATTTGTGTTTTCAATGTTGAAGAACAAGACAATATTTAAAACTGTATTTTCCAGTTTATAAATGTTCATCTTTATACAGTGGCCTTAAATTTCCAAACACCTGGAGTACAAATGGATCTTCAAATTGGGAAATTTTCAGATAATGGTGGCTGTGGCTATATATTGAAACCTGAATTCTTGAGAAATGAAAACACACAATTTAACCCATATAATATATCTGCAGACCATCAACCAATTACACTTACAATTAAAGTAAGTTAATTTAAATTATATTATTTTCTCTGATTTGCTTTTACAAATGCTTATTATTGCAGCTTTCTGAGTTGTCTGCCTGAATTCTTGATAAGCAATTTCGAGCTCAAAAATTTTCTGGTGTCGTCATTCCAGCATGATCCCCATATTATATATTTGCATATACTTACTATCTTCTTCAGAGAGTGTTATAATATACATGATGTCATGTTTATGAAGTAAACTATAAGCATGATTTCAGTGTTCACATTTAAAAATGAGCCATAAGGAGATAGGAACTGTTTCACATATAATAACAAATTTTAGAAGCTGATTAAAAATTTTACTGCTTGTTTAGAGACCCACTGGTGTTTGAGCTGACTATTTGCTCTGCTTTGTTATTTCTGTATACTGGCTACTGGTTGTTACTTTATTTGTATACATATTTTTAATTTAATATGTGCTGTTCTTCCACAACCTGGCATTTTGAAAATCTTGAGTTCTAACTCTCAGAATTTGCAGCCAGTATGGCCAAAAGCTGCACTTGATTAGGAGTTCTGAGAATTCAGTTCTTAATATAATTGTCAAGTGGCAGATTGAGGAAGGCTGCATACAGATCTAAGATATAAATACAGTTGAAAAGAATAAGATTTAATGTTAAGCAGACACAAGTAGTACTATACAATTAATTGGATTGCTATGCTGTTGGCTGCTGGATAAGATGATTCTTGGCTAAGATAATGCAGCATGGAAATAAATATATGACCCAAGCAGATCATCAGTTTAGCTTGGTAGCATCTAAACTAGAGAGATTAAATGTGAGTTATAAAAATCTGGTTGACTTGAAAATAACAAAGAAATAGAATTTTTGATATCTTTTTGCTAGGAATAGTCTGGATTCATCTGCTCAGGTGCAGATTTTGTGGGCTAGGATTAGGATCAGAGATTGTACTTCATCACTTCCAGAACATAATAACATATGATATAATAAGGTATGATATACTCATAATAAGATATGAGTATAAATACTTTCAGGATGGTGTATGCCTAGAAACAATTTTAGTTTTTTAATTCATCCTGAGATTATTCCAACTAATAAAAAATGAATGGATGACCAGGCTTCTAAAATGGTGATGTGCTGTGTTTGATGCATAAGAATTCAGATGGAAGGACATGTTCCTCTTAGCACTGCCTCATTACCTGGTTAACTTTGCCTTTGCCTTTACAAAGTCCCACAGTGAAAATGTATGCTGATGACTAGAGCATTCAATTTGGATATGAAAAGTCTGGTTTAATGACCTTTAAAGCACACTCAGTTTATTTGTTGTAAGGTTAAATTGGTACTGTATATAGGTGTCTAGGAATCAATGCCCTGAAATGAGTACAATTCCTGTAATTAGTCTGGTTTGGAATAGTTCCAGAAATACTGGTTGAATGTGAAGGCTGTCAGTTAACAGTATGAATGTAGGATATCACAGCAGTCTCAATTCAGTATCATATTTTTTTCAGAGAACAGTGTGTTGTTGTTTTTCTTTGCCCTTTATTGTTTCCTTAAATTGGCTTATTTTTCTTTACAAATTCTGGCAGAGAGCAAGAGAGCGTGTCGCAGTTTGATCACAAATTAAGACACTGAACTGCAAGTTGAAAAGCTCAATTTTCAGCCCTGCCTTAGGCATTGAAGTCAGTTGGATGACTTTGGGCAGTCACTCTCACTCAGGCCTAGGAACAAGTCAATGGCAAACCATCTTTGAAAATGCAATGAAATGATGCAGATATAAATAGAAAACAACCTCCAGCATTGAGTTCTTACTGTAGCTCAAAAAGCTTTACTTTATTACAGACTCCTATTGAGGCACCCTCTGAAACAAGTGTGCAAGAAGAGGTTTTTGGGGAAAATTGGGAGAAATTTTTGGCAAAGCGCATAAGTTGGTTTTCAGTGATGGAGCTATTTCCTGAGAATGACTTATTGGAGATTCATCTGTCTCCAACACTCTCAGTCTTGAAGGCAGAACTTTTTGGGAGGGCTTTTGAGGCCTGAGGCCATGCTCTCTTTTTAGGTTTTGTTCAATGTCTGTGTTTTATACTCTATTCTATAGTTTTACTTTGGGAACCACTGACATTTCTATGACTCTGGGAGGATACAATTTTGATTAAAATTAAACAAATTGCAGTTGAAAAATAAGCAAAGTACAGAATTTAATGCAATGATTTTTTTTTTTACTTTTATTCTGGAGGCTACAAACCCCATCCCTTCCCACAATACTTTATGATAGGCTTTGAAACTTTCATAGGAAAAATTTAATGCATGTAATATTATTAAATAATAATTTATAATATTAATAATAATTTTAAAAGTTAGCATCCTAGTTAATACTGGTATCTTTTCCTGCATCTATGCAGCTTATTAGTGGCCATCAGTTACCACCTAGCAACCTTTCAAGAACTAACAAAGCTGACCCTCTTGTTATACTAGAAATTTATGGCATTCCAGAAGACCAGGCAAAACAACAGAGTTGTGTTGTGAAGGGCAATGGTAAGTGGATCATACTGATTCTGTCAGGCAGTGTTCTGTAGCCTGATAGCTTCCAGATACTTTGAATCTACAATTTCCCAGAATTTAACTCATCTGAATGGCAGTATGGCATACTGTCTTTAATAATAATGGAATTTTACACATCTTAACATAATTCCCTGATCAAGAGGCAAAGAAATGAGTTTCCATCACCACAAACATCCTTGGTGTACTGGGGCTTCTCAATGTCATTTTGACAAGCCCTGCCTTTCTCTTGTACTTTAGAAAAGTTGTTATAGGTGCCCATGGCTGAATACTTTTCATTAAAGATATATGAGTGGACAATCCATAAGACCAGGGCTGTCAAACTCAATTTCATTGAGGGCCGCATCTGGGTTGTGTTTGATCTCAGGGAGCTGGGGTGGGCATGGCCAGGGCCAGGGAGGGCATGGGTAGCTCAATGGTATTCATGTTGGGGCGCCTGTAGCGTTCCAAGTGCTCTGCCAGCAAAACGGGCTCCCAAGCTCTGTTTTCAGCTGTGACAGCCTCCTGCAACCCTCTGCCAGCGAAAACAGAACTCGGGAGGGCTGCCCGCAGCCCTCCCAAGCTCTGTTTCCGCTGGTAGAGGCACCATGGGCCGCTCCTTCTCTGTTTACACTGTGGCCAGATCTAAGTACCCCGTGGGCCGGATCTGCCTGAGTTTGACACCCTTGCATAAGACAGAGTGGAGATCAGTAGAATTGTGGAAATTGTTATTATGTATTAAACACAGTTTGTTTTCCTATTAACAGAATGTGTGTTAGAACTGTGAGTGACATTAATTTGAGATCTTCATGTGAACATCACCATATACTTTAAAGAGAATAGATGAGATTGTATTAATCTTGATTTCATTATGACCAAAGGTGTAACCGTCATTAATGATATATTTCTTGTTCATTTTGTGAATCATTCAATTTTCTATTCTTGTAGTCACTTGGAATAACCAAAAAAAAGAATTGTGAAGAAATAATGACTAACTCTCAGAAGATAAAGTGTTTTAGATAAATTGTTCGTCTTATATTGCTTTTTTTATTTCAGCTTTGTGTCCTAGGTGGAATCAAACATTCACATTTGGTATCCGTGTTCCAGAGCTTGCCTTAGTTCGTTTTGTTGTAGAAGATCAGATTTCTCTTGTTTCCAATGATTTCCTTGGTCAATATACGTTGCCACTTTTAAGCATAAATAGAGGTATTACATTGATTGTTTTTGTGTACAAAAAGTGTTCCAAATCTACTTTTTTATTAAAACATTTCTTTTAATTAATATATAAGGCATAGCATACAAAACATTGTAATATTGTTTCTATTATTGCTGATTCCAGAATTGTTCAAATAACTATTCTTCCCTTACTTTATGACATTGTATGATTGAATGGTGGGTCAACTTATATTTTTAAAAATTTTCAAATATTAGAGTTATGGGCTGTACAGTTTTCTTTTTTATGCAAATCAACATGCTAGTGTTCACGTGTAATCTTTCTCAGTATTTGGAACCTACAAACTTTATGTTAATAACAGGAATGTTAATGCACACTTCCAAATATTGCTTACTGTTTATATCTCTATCTATCTATCTATCTATCTATCTATCTATCTATCTATCTATCTATCTATCATCTATCTCTATATATCTATATCTATCTGAATTACGGAGTTCTCTAAGCTTGGTAGTTTGCTTGCAGACATTTCATTACCCATTTCAGTGATGATATTACCTGAGTAATGAAATGTCTGTAAGTAAACAATCAAGCTTAGAGAACATTGAGAACTCCACTGTTTGGAGATTCTTTTTGAATGGCCAGCAGCTGATTATTTTCATTTTGATTCCCATGATATCAGTAGTGTCTCCAAAGTTTGCTCGGTTCTTTATAGGGGCAGTATGCTTACTGCTTTCCTTTTTCAGTATTGCTTTTACTTATGAACATTTTGAAGTGGGATAATCTCTGAAATTATGGATCAGGAGAAGGAACTTTCAGAACTACATGAACTTTCAGAACTACTTTGAACCAGATGTTCAAAGATCTCAATGAGAAACATGCGATGAAGACTTTTGCTTAACGGTGGAATTTGCCCTATATCAAGTCAGAGATTTCTCATAATGCCTAGAATGAATCCCGAAGGATCTTTTCTAATCCTGCATAAAGTTTTCATAGATTAAACTGAGGACCTTTCTTATGCAAAACACATTGAAACCATCAAATTTCTTTCCAAAGGTTGTCTATAATTGCTGCATTCTTGTAATAGTTTGTAGCTAGTGTACATGTTAAACTTTTCTACATGTACTGAATTTAACTATATTGCATTGCAAAATCCGTCACAAGACCTTTAGAGGTAAGAACAAAATTCCAGTCTTTATGCTTGTATTTGAAGTATTTCTATAATTAATAAAGAGTAGATTTTCACAGTTGCTATTTATGGGTGACATGACTTCTGAGCAGGACTGTGTGAAACATTCTTTGCCAAATGACCAAATTCTGTCAACAGAAATAATTGTGCAAATTTCTGTATTAATGTAGTTGAAATTGCACTGCTTTGTTTTGTCATTCTCTTACACTGGAGCAAATAAGTACTAAAATACAACTTTGATAGAACCAAGTTTTTGTACTCATTTTGATGTTTCCGATTCTTTGAGGAATGAATTTCAAACTAATACTTTACAAGATACAACTGTTATATATGTGTTGTTGTGTATTTTTCACTGTATACAATACATTAATTGGCTGTTATCATATTACAGGTTATCGTCACGTTCCACTTTTTTCCAAACTTGGTGTCAGTTTACGTCCTGCTTCACTCTTTGTACATGCTTGGTACTCAAGAAATAATGTATGTTAGGATTTCTGCCTATTCCACAATAAAGATTCAGTGGTTTAATTATATTAAGCATTCGGTGTTACAGTTTTTCTTCCTGAATTAATTTTATTCTGTATGTACTAAACGCACATAAAATATACCTTGTTGAGTAAGAATAAAATCCCTCTGTTGTATTTCTAACAGATGGATACTTTTCAGATGTACTAAAAAGAAGAAAAGTTTCCTTTAGTCTCTATAAATTGTTTGCATTAAATCAAAAGCAATGATCAAATTGTATATCTTATGTTTTAAATTCAGTCATTTAATAAAGTTTATTTTCTACCTATCTATCCCCAGATATATCTTGAATGTGTAACAGATCATTGTATATACCTCATAGATAATAGAATACAAGTGATAATATTTTGCCTTGTAAACTGGTCCCTGGATTACAGATCCTAATTTTGATAAAATATCATGAACAGGCTTGATATATAACTAGGCTTTGGTTGTTTTTATTGTCCAAAATGTACCAAAACTGAACAGGAAAAGCTGCATATGGTATAGCTACAGTTTGCAATCTGCACTTTCTCTGTCTTACTCCAAAGTGTTACATGACAACCTTGATTATCCAAAGCCATGATAAGCAACAGAGATAAATGTAGGCCCATATGGCATGAGATTCTGCAACAGAATGGGAGAGGTGGCAAACTATGACATGTGTCTACATTCAGTACATAACTACAGTAATAAATTAAGGTACAAGGAAGGAGGTTCAGGTTAGACAATAGGAGGAACTTCCTATCTCTATGAGCTGCCAGCTGTCAACTGATGGAAGAGGCTACAATATGACATAATGAAATATCCTCTGCTAGAAGTTTTCACATTGAGGCTGGATGGTCGTCTATTGGAGATGTTCTAGTACTATAGATCCTGTACTCAACAGGAGTTTGGGTTAGATAACTTTTGTGGTTACTTCCAACTCTGCTATACTGTCAAATGCTATGGTGTTGGTACACAAATCCAAAATAGCAGCATTTGTGTGTTGATGTTACTGTCCATGGTTTTGTTTTGTTTTTTCATTTTGTCATAATTTATTGCTAACATGACTGTCATCTAGTGACAATCATAGATATTTGAAAGATTGGGAATTTGAATGAAAGTGGAGTAAATGATAAGCACCATTAATCAAAGTAATTAAAAAATTTGATATGACAGGTATCTCAAATTTTGAGAAAGGTTAAGGATGTAAATAAATGTCAAATTTATGAATATCTGTTGGAAAATGAAGATGTAAGTTGAATTATAAATGAAAGGGCTAAAATGCATATAGTTATGGGATTGTATGAAAATAGGAATCCTTTGGTTAGTGATAGTTGCATGTTATATATGAGCCTTGGTGGTGCAGTGGTTAGAATGCAGTACTGCAGGCTACTTCTGCTGCCTGCTGGCTGCCTGCAATTTTGCCAATCGAATTTCACCAGGCTCAAGGTTGACTCAGCCTTCCATCCTTCCGAGGTGGGTAAAATGAGGACCCAAAATGTTGGAGGCAATATGCTGACTGTAAACCGCTTAGAGAGGGCTGTAAAACAGTATATAAGTGCTATTGCTATATTCCTGTGAATATAACAGAAGAATTGGATGTGATCTTTGGGGAAAATTGAGAAACATTCTTCATGAGATCCAGGGGAAAAATATTCTGTTAGATGGATGGGAAACAAGATGAAAGAATATAGAAAAAGTGAATAATTCAGAGGCTCAAAATGAATGAGAATGATGACTACTAGCAAGTACTTGCTTAGAAAGCTTCATTCCAGGCAGTTTACAATCAAAATGTTGGTCTCTTTGTGATATTTGCTTACAGCAAATGTGTTTTTTTCCCTATAGTAAATAGTTCATGACTTCATCAGCTCTCTTGAGGCTTATTAATGCTCAACTAGCTTTTCTCGGGAAGACATTAATTAATTTCAAGAGTGAACTGGGGTGACAGCAACGTCTCTTCAGTTCTGTCATGACAAAATATATTCTTTTTTTATCTTTATTTTTCTCTTCATTACAATTACCCTTCAGCTCCAATAGCCTTTTAAGTTGTGAGCTATTTAAGTCAGATTTGTTTGCTTTGAAACTATTGTGTTTTCCCGAAAAAAGCCATTTTCTGCACTGAGTCCCAGACATACTCAAGTGTTTTGCATCTTTTGAAGAAAATGCCATTTACAGAGTAACATCATAGTTATAATACTGCAATATGGCTACAATCCAAAGCTGCACAAAAAGTGCATAAGGAATTATGTTTCTCAACAGCTGCGGCTTGTAATATGGGAATCTATCAGATTATAGTGGTAGGAACAAAACCCATCACAAGTAGTCCTCAATTAAAAATGGTAATTGGGACTATCTAAAGCTGTTGCATTGCCCTTCCAGCACAAATACATCCCTGTTCAAGCTGCTTGATGCTAAGCTCAATGTAAGTTTCATCTTTCTTTTATAAGAGTGGGTTTGGAGGCAGTTTTGCACTTGATGACTTCCATGACCTTGTCTCAAATTATCACAGGCCTGAAGCACAAGCAAGAGCACACCTTAGACCTGATGTAACTCTCATGCACATGGTAGTCTGCCAGCCTGTGTGGCTTAAAATTTCTTGGCAGCTTCCCTACGGATTTTGGTTGTGGAGAGCTAGCAGGATGTTTCTTCATCTAATGACCATACTATTTGGGTTAAAAACATCAATCAGGGCTGCAGAGATTGTCATTGCTAAGTTCTGTCACAGTTTTTTACACCCTCATTGTTAGCAACAGAAACTCCAGCCCCAATTGCCTTCGTCAATCGAGGACTAACCTATAATAGAAATAGTTTTCAGGCATAGCAAATCTATATTATTTACTGAGGAGTAAAGGAACATTGGTTCTGATCACACAAAATTACTCCATTTTAGAAGGGTTGTTGTTCCATACTACTGAGCATTTTCCTTGCCCCGATGCACTGGCTAGAGATGAACTGAGTTTTAGCCTAACTCCATCTATTCAGAAATAGTCCTCTCGAGAAACGTTGCTACCTTTGAAATTTCATGCTGCAGAATACATACAGATGGCTTTTTAATGTTGAAGCTAATGAGAACCATTTGCAAATAGAAGAGTAGTAATTCCATGAAGATAACTAAATGACAATGGGCCATGAAAAACTCGTTATAATATTTCTGCGATTAGTGGTCTCCTCTATACTCAGTGGTGTTCCTCACATATTCTCCAAGGCAAACGATTAGCAAATGTAATATTGTTCATCCAACTATATTAATAAGTCTTTCAAATGTTCCACTACTTTCTATGATAAATCATGAAATATTTTTAATATGTGTTACAATTTCTCAATTCTTACTGAAAATATAAGATGATAGATGTTCAAGTAGATGCTCCTCTATGCAAAAAATAATATTTAATGCATAAAAATCTATTCTTAAAGAACTGGCAAGCTAGAACCTACTTATTTAATCTGGTACTGCTCTAAGCATCAGGGCTATATCATTCAATTAATCAATTTGGTAATCTTTGGACATTTCTGTTTTGATTAATCAACAAGTTATGGCAAAGAAGCCAATTTCAAAGATTCGATTTTGAAACCTTAGGATTTAAATTCTAAAATTTATGCCCTATCCTAAATGTCCATGAATTGTATTTACTTAACGCAATTTATTATTGAGCTTTCTGCCAATAGCCAGCACTGAATGTGGCAGACAAAAAAATTAATTTGCAGCTAAAAACAATTCTCATATAATTTTCAGCATTATATAAAAATAACTGAAACACCTAGCATGCCTTAAATGCAGTCAAGAATCAGGTACAATAAAGACGCTCTTGCTAGTCAGCAGGAAGATACCAGAAGATAACCTCCCTGACTAATTTTGGTACAGAATTCCAAAGTACTCTAAAGCATCCCACACCTTAATACAAAACATATACATCAAATATTCCCAGAAGATGTATTTTTAATGATCCCTGAGTCAGAAAGAAATTGTAATTTGAGGCTGTAGGTCAGGGGCGTCAAACTCAAGGCCCGTGGGCTGGATCCGGCCTGTGCGATGCTTAGACCTGGCTTGCAGGCCCACCCTGGAAACAGCAAAGGACTGGCCTGTGGTGCCTCTGCCAGCAAAAACAGAGCCCTGGCGGGCTGCGTGTGGCCTCCCCGAACTCCATTTTCACTGGCAGAGGGCTGCAGGAGGCCGTTGTGGCTGAAAACGGAGCCTTGGTGAGTGACATCGAGCTGGCCATGCCCCAGATTTTTTCCCCATAGGAATTTGAGACTCATTAATATTTTAATTTGGGGTTGTTTTAATTTTACTGCCTATTTGAATTAGCTGTTTTTATCACATTTTACTGATTGGCATTCTCTATTTTCAAAATCCATTTAGAACATTAACATTATTAGGCCAATTCAAAGCTGACACCTCATCTGTGTTTAAGATTTAATAAAGCTATTATCAATATAGGGATTTTTTTAAAAAAATTACTCCTGTCCAATAGTTATCTTTGTTTTTCTTAAGAAATGAACGATGTTAATGGGTAGTTTTCTCTATTTTATTATGATATAAATATAGACTCACCTTTATAACAGCATGTTAAAGAAGCTCCTGTCTTCTGTAAACAATCTTGATATTTTATTGTATGTTCAAAGAAAGAAATGAAGTAGAAATACTAACCTAGACACCACTGACCTGGATACTGTTTATTGTGAAGGACTGTGTGTTTTCACGAACCATCAGGCAATAAATCAAAGAGATCACTTAGAATGTACTACACAACTGTTGTTTTATTTGGTCATTATTTCATTCACACAGGCATTGCAGCAACTATAATGATCCATCATTTCCAAAGGCCTTCACCGCTTTTCACTAAGTCATCATCAGTATATCCCAAGAGATTGAAGTGCGAGTAACTGGGAGCCTTCTCCGAAACTCTCTCCATGTTTCATTTGACAAATCGTAGAGGCTTTTCACCAGATCCATCTGAAATTTGTTATCTTCAGCTTCAATAAATTTCTCAAAATCCAAGGCAAATTGGTCCCGATGAATTAAATATATGGAACCTTCAGCAGTACTACTTGCTGTCCAGTGAAGATTACCTTTTTTGAAATAATGCAGCTGTACTTTTAAATCCCCTTTGATTTCTGAAACAGGTGGAGTTATTGCAATTATCCATTCTGATTTCCAGAGAAAGTTCCAGAATTTCTTATTCTGGTGGCTTTCCATGCAGATCACAAGAAATGGTTTGTTTCTAATTGTTTTTCTGTAGACCCGACAAACTCCTGAAATGAAATGCCTCTTCATATATGCTTCCAAGGTCACATTAAGGGTTTCTCTCCATAACTCTGCCTTATCTCTCCTAATATTACAATAAAGCAGAATTTTGTCAGCTCTTCTATTCAGATGATCAAATGTGAAAGAAAGCTTGATCTGTGGATCAAAGAAACGATCACCTTCCATGTCATTATGGCGAGTCACCAGCACATTGTCCCCTTTGATGTTTGCAGTGGTGAAATTTTTCTTGGAATGATTAGCGCACACCTGAGCAACCTCTTGCTTCATGAGTTTATCATCACAAAGCAGAAAGCGAAGGTCTTCAAAAACATTCTTGAATTCACCTGGAGGGCATTGTTTTAACAAATTGCATATTAATTTTATTTTCAGTGCCTTAGCTGCTTCTTCTTGGTCTATTTCAGTTTCCTCAGCGGGTTCTATATCTGGCAATGAGATTGCAAAATAAAACAAAGAGCTCTTTCAAATGTTTATGAATTAAACTCTACACTGCTTACTGACATTTCTTCCAAAAATAGAACAAAGTAGTTTTTCACTTTGAATCTTTCTTAATTGTCACTTCCAGAAATGAGTCTAGAACTTTCTAGGATTGAGCTAGATCTAGAATTGAATGTGAGTTTATTAAGAGTTTTAGTGGAAGCTGTAAGATCTTAAAATAGCAGTTCATTGTAAACTAAATTCAAGTCAGCAGTGATGTGTCCGAACCCCCCCTCCAATCCTAAGAATGAAATGCAATTTATGTTACATCAACTGAAATATTATTTATTTATCACATTTGTAAGGCTGCCTGACTCCATAGCAACTCTACATGGTGTACATATTAAAAATAAATTAGCAACAGATATACATACAATAGATTTCCAGAGAAAATAACTAATGTCTTCACAGTCATATTGCATTCCCTTAAAGGGAGTACTACTAAATCTGTTTACAAGGCCTGGGGGAAATGGCATAATTTAAGAGCCCATTTCAACAAGGCTATGATCGGGGCAATGCAACTCTCTGGACAGACGCAGTTCCAGAGGATAAATACCACAACAGAGAATGACACTGTTTTAATTGATGGGACGCAAAGCATACCAGCTTTGTCAGATTGAATATAATGGGCAGACCCTGAAGGAAACATAGAGTGTCTCAGTCAGACAGGCCTTATGGAAGTCTTTATAGATATAGAGGGCACAGAGATTGACCTTAAAAGGTCAGGAAGAAGAGTCTCTAGCAAGGCAAGCATCAGATAAGTGGGACGCTCACATTAAATTCTAGATCTAGCTTTATCCGAGAAAGTTCTAGACTCATTTGAAGGAACTAGTTTGAGTAAATGACTCTGACCATCCCTCGTTCACATAGAGATAAAGCGAGGGTGGAAGGGAGAACATTTGGACTCGCAAGTGGCTACAATGAAAGAAATCCTGAGTTACAAGATGGGAATTTGTTAGGTCTACTTTAAAGGGATAACACCAGTGGTGGGTTGTTCCCGGTTCTGTCCGGTTCTGGTGAACTGGTAGTAAAAGCGGCGGGAAGCTCCGCCCACCTGCCCGGACGTCATAATGGACGATCTGCGCATGCGCTCCCATTGCGAACCGATAGTAAAGGTTAAGTAGAACCCACCCCTGGATAATACCATTGTTGCTTGGGCATCGGCTGCTTGCTTTGCTGGTGCTCCTGGTGTAGTTGCTGAAGGTTGTGGTTCCGTTGGTTTTGGTGTTGGTTGAGTTGTTAAAGGGGCCGGGACTGGGCAAGGCTTTCCCCTACCGGGAGTAGCTGGGCGGCTGGCGCATCTTTTGGAAACTTGACACAAGAGACTTTTCAAAGCATTTTTTTACCACCTCTTCAGCCAAGAGGTTGCAGAAAAAAATGCTTTGAAATGCCTCTGACGATCCCAGCTGAGCCGTGTGATCATCAGAGGCTTTTTTTTTTTTTTTACTTTTAAAAGCATTTTTTCTTCGGAAGAGGCTGTAGGAAAAATGCTTTTAAAAGTAAAAAAAAAAAAGCCTCTGATGATCGTGCGGCTCAGCTGGGCATGATGGGGGAGGAGGGGGCAAAGGGATTTTTGCTACCGGTTCTCTGAACCACCCACCGCCCTCGCTACCTACTCGCCCAAGCTGGTCCGAACCGGGAGCATTTCACCCCTGGGTGGGGGGGATACATGAGGAGGCAATAGCTTTCTCCTTGGTACCTCCTTGATTAGAGTATTGTTTTCTGCTCTTAATCCTTGCTTATTTGGGTGTTAGCTGCCGGAGAGGATGTTTTTCTGGTCTTTTTGTTTCCTTACTGCTTGTTTACTGCCTCTTTTGAATGGTGTGTAAATATGGCGTGTAAATATACGGCGTATATTTACATACTTTATTGTGTCTATTACTTTTTGTTTAGATTCAAAGCAGAGAACAGAGTTGGCTGCAGTTACATAATGGAGACGGGGGCTTAGACATTTCTGCCAACCTGTTGTTGGGCTCAAACAGTCTGCACAAGTCTGAAAGATGCTTTTTCGAAAGGCGACTGGACTGTTTTTTTTCCCCTTGAGGAGGAAGAAGAAGAAGTTTCACTTCTCATCCAAGAAGCTTCATCAGTTATGGCAGGATGATGGGGGCGATGGAAGGATTAGTTCCGACAGGATGGGAGGGAGTTGGACCCTGAGGGCACAGATAAACCCCCAAGTAGCCTCAGGAGCTCTCAGGGAGAGTGCTAACGACCAGATGACTGCAAAGAAATGTATTTATTTATTTATTTATTTATTTATTTATTTATTTATTTATTTATTTATTTATTATTTATTTATTTATTTATTTATTTATTTAAATTTTTAGACCGCCCTTCTCCCGAAGGACTCAGGGCGGTATACAGCCACAATAAAACAACATATCTCCACAAAATTTAAAAAACAGTTTAAAACATATTAAATAATTTGGCCCTTGTATTAAAAAACTAAAAACACCCAATTAAAATTAGTTTTCTAAGCCAGCCCAGCCTGTTGAAACAATAGAGTCTTAAGGGCACGGCGAAAGGTACGTAGGTCGGGGATCATACTTATCTCTGGGGGCAATTCATTCCAGAGGGCTGGTGCCCCCACAGAGAAGGCTTTCCCCCTGGGTGTCGCCAGTTGACATTGTTTGACCGACGGCACCCTGAGGAGTCCCTCTCTGTGGGGGCGTATTGGCCAGTGGGAGGCTATCGGCGGCAGAAGGCGATCTTATACCTACCCATATGATATGGTAAATATGAGCCTTTCAACCCCACCCATCCTGTCAGAACTAATTTCTGATTTTTAACTAATTTCTCATTTGACACATTTCCCTGAGATGCTAGGAGTCACTGCTTAAGTCCCCTGCAGATAGAAATAATTTCCTGCATGCCTTCTAAAAATTTGTAAGCACGGGTAGAAAGATGAGATCCAAACAATATGTTGAGACATTCCTGAACCTATAGGCTAGGATGTCAGCCAAGATTTAAGTAAAAGGAGAAGAGTCAGTGCATGTTAAAGCATAGTCACAATTGTGACCCTGAAGAGCAACTTGAGTCTTATCTTGGTTTTACCAGGCGTTTCCGGTTTCTTTGCAGCTTGGGCATCGGCTGTTTGCTTTGCTGGTGCTCCTGGTGTAGTTGCTGAAGGTGGTGGTTCCGTTGGTTTTGGTGTTGGTTGAGTTGTTAAAGGGGCCGCCGCAGGAGGAACAGTGGGAGCTCCTTTTTAGATAGACGGATATATAGAGAGATAGTTAGATTAAATTTATAAAGAAAAATTACAACCCACAAAGACAAAACAAGGAAAGCCATTATCTTCAATTAAGTAACAAAGGATGACTTACCCGGTGCTGGCTTGGCTGCTGCTGCACCTGCTGGCGCTTGTGGTGCTGTTGTCGGTTTTGCCGCTGGCTCAGTCTTTAAAGGAGCCGCCGCAGGAGGAACGGCGGGACCTGCTGAATTATTTTTTAAAAAATATAGACATTAAAAACACAAAGAAAAACAACAATCCACAAGAAAACAAGGATAGATGTTATCTTGTATAAGTAATTGAGAAGGGATGATTTACCAGGAGCTGCAGGACTGGCTGCTGTTGTTGGTTGTGGAGCTGTTTGACGTTTTCATTTCCAAGGAGATTTGCCATAAGATATAATACAAGAAAAAAATATTAGGACTTGTATATTGAAGCTTGACAAAAGAACAAACAAGGAAAGCTGTTATCTTCATTTAAGTAACAAGGTGTCAGCACTTCAAGCTGCATTTACTCTAGTGCTGACATAAGAAGGAGAAGCGGAGGTGTCTGGAAAGGGACATTTGACTTTTCACCTACTTATTTTCCCTGGAGATAATATTTTCTCTGGAGATAATATCCCCTAGGAGATCGGAAGGGAGGGGGGAAATTCCTTTGAGCTGGAGCAGTAGATTAGGGGTAGAGTGACTTGGAAGATGGCCAATGAGTGCAGAGGAGTGGGGAAAGGAAAGGGAGGGTTTTGGGTCAGGAAGTCAGTGTTGGCTATGATGGAGTCGGAGTTAGAATGTCGTGCTTAATAAATGGGAGTTTTTCATCAAAGACTTTGTTTGAAATGCAATTTATTTGAGACGACCTCGAAACCTGACACAAGGGATGATTTACCTGCTGCTGGTGTTGTTGCTGGTGCAGCTGCTGGAGCTTGTGGTGCTGTTGTCGGTTTTGGTGTTGGTTGAGTTGTTGAAGGAGCTGCCGCAGGAGGAACGGTGGGGGCTGATAGATAGATAGATAGATAGATAGATAGATAGATAGATAGATAGATAGATGGCGGACAGATAGATGCATGGATAGATAATAAATGATGAGATAGATACATGATAGATAGAAGATAAATAATGATTAGATAGGTAGGTAGATATAATTAGATTTTAAAAAATAAAAAGAACAACCCACAAAGAAAAAACTTACCCGGTGCTGGCGTTGTTGCTGGTGCAGCTGCTGGCGCTTCTGGTGCTGTTGTCGGTTTTGCTGCTGGCTCAGTCTTTAAAGGGGCCGCCGCAGGAGGAACGGTGGGGGCTGATAGATAGATAGACGATAGAGATAGATAGATAGATAGATAGATAGATAGATAGATAGATAGATAGATAATAAATGATGAGATAGATAGGTACTTGATAGATAGAAGATAAATAATGATTATATAGATATATTAGATATAGATAGATAGATATAATTAGATTAAGAAAAATAAAAATAACAACCCACAAAATAAAAAATAAAAACAAGGAAAGCTGTTATCTTCATTTAAGTAACAAGGAATGACTTACCCGGTGCTGGCGTTGTTGCTGGTGCAGCTGCTGGAGCTTGTGGTTCTGTTGTCGGTTTTGGTGCTGGCTGAGTCGTTAAAGGGGCTGCCGCAGGAGGAACGGTGGGGGCTGCTGAATTGTTTTTTGTTTTTTTTAAATAGACATTAAAAACACACAGAAAAACAACAACCTCCAAGAAACAAAAAGGAAAGCTGTTTTCTGTAAGTAACTGATAAGAGATGACTTACCAGGAGCTTGGGGACTGACTGCTGCTGTTGGTTGTGGAGCTATTTAATTTTTCGTTTCCAAGGGCAGAAGAAATAATACAAGAAAAAAAAAATATTAGGACTTGTATATTAAAACTTGACCAACCCCTCCCCCAAAGGAAGAGTCTTATCTTCAATTAGGTGACTTAGCAATAGCACTTAGACTTATATACCGCTTTACAGTGCTTGACAGCCCTCTCTAAGCGGTTTACAGGGTCAGCATATGGCCCCCAACAATTTGGGTCCTCAATTTATCCACCCCGGAAGGACGGAAGGCTGAGTCGACCTTGAGCCGATCAGGATCTAACTGTTGACAGTCGGCAGAATTAGCTTGCAATACTGCATTCTAACTACTGCGCCACCACGACTTACCCGGTACTTGCGTTGTTGCTGGAGCAACCCCTGGAACTTGTGGTTCTGTGGTTGATTTTGGTGCTGGCTGAGTTGTTAAAGGGACAGCTGCAGGGGGAATGGTGGGACCTGCTGAATTGTTTTTTTAAAAGAAAGTATAGATATTAAAAAAAGAAGGAAATGCTAAAATGGAGAGTTGTTAAAGAAGATGATGTTAAGTATTATTGTTTAGAATAGAATAGAATAGAATAGAATAGAATAGAATAGAATAGAATAGAATAGAATAGAATAGAATAGAATAGAATAGAATAGAATAGAATAGAATTTTTTATTGGCCAAGTGTGATTGGACACACAAGGAATTTGTCTTGGTGCATACGCTCTCAGTATACATAAAAGAAAAGATATGTTCATCAAGAATCATAAGGTACAACACTTAATGATAGTCATAGGGTACAAATAATCAGGAAACAATATCAATATAAATCGTAAGGATACAAGCAACAAAATTACAGTCATACAGTCATAAGTGGGAGGAGATGGGTGATGGGAACAATGAGAAGATTAATAGTAGTGCAGACTTAGTAAGTAGTTTGACAGTGTTGAGGGAATTATTTGTTTAGCAGAGTGATGGCTTTGGGGAAAAAACTGTTCTTGTGTCTAGTTGTTCTGGTGTGCAGTGCTCTATAGCGTCGTTTTGAGGATAGGAGTTGAAACAGTTTATGTCCAGGATGTGAGGGGTCTGTAGATATTTTCACAGCCCTCTTTTTGACTCGATATATTATATTATCATATTATTCAATATTATTCAATATTACAATGATGAACACCACAACAAATATGTGTTTCATGATTGTTTAAAAATAACCGAACCCAGACCACACACTGTTTGATGAAAATTGAATGTTATATAAATAAAACATTGAAAAAAAAAAAACACAAAGGAAAACAACTCACAAAGAAACAAAAAGAAAAGATGTTATTATCTGATAGAGGTGTTTTTTTTTTTTTTACCAGGAGTTTGGGGACTGACTGCTGTTGCTGGTTGTGGAGCTGTTTGAAGTTTTCATTTCCAAGGAGATTTGCCATAAGAAATAATACAAGAAAAAAAATATTAGGACTTGTCTATTGAAGCTCGAAAAAGGGGGAGGGAAAGGAGGGGGAGCAGAAATAATGATACTGAGATTATATTTTGCTTTTCAATATTTCTGTATTAAGACTGAAAAATTCAGTCAATTTGGAATGTGATAATCCCCATCCCACCTTGCAAGTTAACTTCCTGTTGAGGCCATGATAGTTCTGGAGTGGACTTCTTGTCTGCAGGCTGATCACTTACAGATTGGGGAGGAACATTTTATTTATTTATTTATTTTTTAAATTTTTATACCGCCCCCTCGCCCGAAGGACTCGGGGCGGTGAACAGCCAAAATTAAAAACACACAATACAAACATTAAAATACTATAAAACGAAATTAAATTTATCTTTGGCTTCCCCAGTTTAAAACCCCTTACCCATAAAATTCCCCAATTAAAAGATTTTTAACCCAGCCTGGCTTGCTGAAATAAAAAAGTCTTCAGGGCCCGGCGGAAGGTCCGGAGGTCCGGGATCAGTCGTATCCCTGGGGGTAGCTCATTCCAGAGGGTGGGTGCCCCCACAGAGAAGGCTCTTCCCCAGGGGGTCGCCAGCCGACATTGCCTGACCGACGGCACCCTGAGGAGGCCCTCTCTGTGGGAGTGTATTGGCCGGTGGGAGGTTATCGGTGGCAGATAACCTCTCACATTTGCATCACTCACAATAATTGCAGATGAGAAACTGCAAGTGGTTATAAATAATTTGTGTTACAAAACCTCAATAGCCCCATTTATTCATAAAACAGTATGTAAGGTGTGACCCCCATCAGCCCCCATGCAATCCCATCCAGTACCACAAAGTCGTGCTCCCTGAAATGTGTTGGCAAATAGACAATTTAGTTGATACTATTTTTTTTTAAAAGAAATGTAATTCGGAACGAACATGGTAGAAAGAAATCAATTCCAGCCTATTTCATGGCATATTTTAGATACAGATTGAGGCTTATCAACTACTAGGATGCCTCTGGGAAAGAGCCTGTCTCTGTTTCATTTTTAAATCTCACAAAACTCTCTTAAAGGCTGCAAACTTGCCTGAAAGTGGTGTATTGGGAGCATTTGGAGTGAAGGCTGGTGGTGAAAGAAAGTAGGATTGGGAATGGTTTTCATTTCAGAAGTTTCTGCTTCTATTTCACTCTTAGCCTTCTCCACAAAATAAATGAAAATGTTCTACCATGTTTCTCCAAAAATAAGACCGTCTTATATTTTTCTGAACCCCGAAATAAGCTCTTGGTCTTATTTTTGGGGAGGCTCCTCTTGCCATCTTACCTGATTTCCAAGTCTGCGTTTAAATATTTTTGGGGAGGGCTTATTTTAGTGCATGCGCTCAAAAGCCTGAAAATAAGACATCCCCTGATAATAAGCGATTGGGTTTATTATCAGGGGATGTCTTATTTTCCAGGAAACAGGGTAGTAGCATCATCACAATCATCAGATGGCTTATTGGGACCCAACAGAAGGTTGGCAGGCTGAACGGAGATCTACAAGTCAGCAAATGTTGCCCATCCAATCTTATGAGGCTGACATCCCTCAGGAGGTACCAACCATCATTGACTAGGTTCTCCCTAGAACAGGGGTATCAAAGTCGCATTGTCACAGTGGCATCACGTGATGTATCATGACATTTACTAAACCGGGTGGGGGTGTGGCCAGCACATGATGCAACTGGGCCGCGGGCCGCAAGTTTGACAGCCCTGCCTTAGAAATTCTGTTTTCAATGATGGTAATTATTTCCTGTGTCCCTTCTACACCTTCAGGGATGTGAAAGGATGAGACCAAAATACCCACACCAGAAGTTCTTCAACCTATCAGCTGGGGAGTCAGCCGACGTCTAAGAAACAGCAGAAAAACGAGTGTGTATTAAGGCATCTGTGTCATTAAGGGCAGCTAGAGTGCCCCATGAGGAGCGGTCTGCATTTTATCTTGGTTTTACCAGGGGTTTCTGGTTTCTTGTCTTTTTCACCTTGGGTATCCACTGCTTGCTTTGCTGGTGTTGCTGGTGCAGTCGCCGGAGGTTGTGGTGCTGTGGTCGGTTTTGCTGTTGGTTCAGTTGTTAAAGGGGCTGCCGCAGGAGCAGTGGTAGGAGCTGATAGATAGATAGATAGATAGATAGATAGATAGATAGATAGATAGATAGAAGATAAATAATGATTAGATAGATAGATAGAAGATAAATAATGATTAGATAGATAGATACATACATACATACGTACATCATAGATAGAAGATAAATAATGATTAGATAGATAGATAAATAGATAGATAGATAGAAGATAAATAATTAGATCGATAGATCGATCGATAGATAGAAGATAAATAATGATTAGATAGATAGATAGATAATTAGATAGATAGATAGATAGATAGATACATACATACATACATACATCATAGATAGAAGATAAATAATGATTAGATAGATAGATAGATAGATAGATAGATAGATAGATAGAAGATAAATAATTAGACAGATAGATACATACATACACACATACATACATGATAGATAGAAGATAAATATTGATTAGATAGATAGATACATGATAGATAGAAGATAAATAATAATTAGATAGATAGTTAGATAGATAGAAGATAAATAATTAGATAGATAGATAGATAGATAGATAGATAGATACATGATAGAAGATAAATAATGATTAGATAGATAGATAGATGATAGAAGATAAATAATGATTAGATAGATAGTTAGATAGAAGATAAATAATTAGATAGATAGATAGATAGATAGATAGATAGATAGATAGATGATAGAAGATAAATAATGATTAGATAGATAGATACATGATAGATAGAAGATAAATAATGATTAGATAGATAGATAGATAGATAGATAGATAGATAGATAGATAGATGATAGATATAATTAGATTTAAAAAAAATAAAAATAACAACCCACAAAGAAAAAATAAGGAAAGCAGTTATCTTCAATTAAATAACAAAGGGTGAATTACCCGGTGCTGGCGTTGTTGCTGGTGGAGCTGCTGGCGCTTGTGGTGCTGTTGTTGGTTTTGCTGCTGGCTCAGTCTTTAAAGGGGCCGCCGCAGGAGGAACGGTAGGACCAGCTGATTTTTTTTAAAAAAATATAGACATTAAAAATACAAAGGAAAACAGCAACCCACCAAGAAACAAAAAGGAAAGATGTTAACTCTAATTATCTGATAAGGGGTGATTTACCAGGAGCCTGGGGAGTGACTGCTGTTGCGGGTTGTGGAGCTGTTTGAGGTTTTCATTTCCAAGGGAATTTGCCAGAAGAAATAATATAAGAAAAAAAATATTAGAACTTGTATAGTGAAGCTTGAAAGGATATTTTGTTTTTTAATATTTTTGTAGTAAGATTGAAAAATTCAGCCAATTTGGAAGGCGAAAATCCTCATCTCAAACAATTTCCAAACAAGGAAATGTTATCGTCAATTAAGTAATAAGGGGTGATTTACTAGGAGTCTTGGGACTGTTGTTCAGCTGTTTCAGTGGGTTCCCAAGAAACTTTGCCAAATTTTACTGGTACAAGAAAAAATATTAAGCCATAAATATTGAAAGTTAATAGGAGAGAGAACAAAGCAATAGTAATGAAACTCAAATTGTATTCTACTTTTCAAGATTTCTGTAATAAGACTTAACAATTCTTGCTGAAAGAATTTGCTTTTCAAAATGAAATGGACAGCATATAAATTTAACAAATAAATAAATTCGGATCCTTTGGACCTTCCAAAAACTCATATCACCTTGAGCTTTACTCTCTGGTTGAGGCTGAGATGGGGCTGGAGTGGACTTCTGGTCTCCAGGCTTATCACTTACAGGTTGGGGAGGGGCTTTTGCATCACTCACAGTAGCTGAAGATGAGAAATTGCAAAGGGTTGGAAGATGCAAAATTTACAAATCATTTGCATTGCAAACCAGAAACAAACAATGGCCCAAATTATTCATAAAACAACATGTAAGCATGGTCTCCATCACTTCATGTGCAATCCAACCCAACATCACAAAGTTATGCCCTGGAAATATGTTGGCAAATAGACAATTGTGTTGATATGATTTTTTTTTTAAATAAAAAAGTGTAATTCAAAATAGGCATGCCAGAAGGAAACAAATTTCAGCCCATTTCATGGTATATTTTGGACAGGAACTGAGGAATACCAGCAATTAGGATATCTCTGGGAAAGAGCTTGCCTCCATTTCATACTTAATAGCGCTAGCAACAGCACTTATATACGATTCCATAGTATTTTATAGCACTCTCTGAGCAGTTTACAGAGTCAGCACATTGCCCCCAACAATCTGGGTCCTCATTTTACTGACTTCGAAAGGATGGAAGGCTGAGTCAACCTTGAGCTGATCGGGATTGAACTGTTGGCTATGGGCAGAGTTTGCCTGCACTACTGCATTCTAACTACTGCGCCACCAGGGCTCCTTAACTGTCACAAAACTCTCTTAAAGGCCTTAGACCTGCCTGGAAGTGGTATTTTGAGAGCATTTGAAGTGGAGATTGTAGGACTGGTTTTCATACCAGGAGTCACCTGCGCCTATTTTCACTCTTAACCACCTCCACAAAATTATCGCAAATCTTCATTCCAACCTATCCTTGTGGTATCATCAGATGATTGGATGGTTTACTGGAACCATCCAGAAGACTTATAGATGGAACTGAGATCCGCAAACCCGCAAATGTTGCTTATACTGTTACATGGGTGTGAAATGTTTTCCTGAGATTATAGGCAACACTGTTTAAGTCTCCATATAAAAACTACTTCCGCTGTACTTCTACCTCTTTTTAAACAACTGTAGAGGGCTGACAATCAAATACCCGCCTCAGATGTTTTTTGAGTTGTTGGCTAGGATGTCGGCCAAGATTAAAGCAAAAGCAGAAGAGTTAATCTATGTTAATACATGGTCATCCCAGTAGTGGGTTGCCCCTGCTTCACACCGGTTCTATAGAACCGGTAGTAAAACCGGCGGGAGGCTCCGCCCACCGACCCTGACATCACTAAAATGGTTCTGCGCATGTGCAGAAGCTTCTGCACATGCGCAGAAGAGCGTGCACATGGCCCTGCTGCAAACCCCACTGTCATCCTAGTGGTGGGATTCAGCCAGTTCGCACCTATTCAGGGGACCAGGTTGTTAACTTTCTAAGCAGTTCAGAGAACCGGTTGTTGGAAAAAAATATCTCCTTTTGTTTTTTTCCACTTTACAGGGCTAATCCTGTAAGGAAGACAAGAAGGAAACATTCTGGTGTTATTTCTAGCCTAATCTTTATTGCCCTGCTTACAGAAACTGCCTCTCTGGTTAACCCTTATTACATTGTAACAGCTACAGCGAAGCGCCCATCAACGTTAGTGACGTTGAGTTGGCCATGCCCACACGGTCACATGACCACTGAGCCATACCTACCCAGCTGGTCATTAGGGCAGAGAACCGGTTGTTAAATTATTTGAATCCCACCATTGGATCATCCTTATGGGTATCCAGAATGCCCCTGGCATGCAATTTGAATTCTGTGTCATTAAGGGCAGCTAGAATGCCCCTGAAGAGCAATCTGAATTTTATCTTGGTTTTACCAGGAGTTTCTGGTTTCTTGTCCTTTGCAACTTGGGCATCTGTTCCTTGCTTTGCTGCGGGTGTAACCCCTGGAGCTTGTGGTTCTGTTGTTGGTTTTGGTACTGGCTCAGTCGTTAAAGGGACCACTGCAGGAGGAATGGTGGGACCTGCTTTTTTTAAAAAAAAAAAAAACATTGACATTAAAAACACACAAAAATAAAACAATGCACAAAGAATAAAGAAAAGAAAAGATGTTATGTCTAATTAACCGATAAGAGGTTATTTACCAGGAGCCTGGGGACTGACTGCTGTTGCAGGTTGTGGAGCTGTTTGAGATTTTCATTTCCAAGGGAATTTACCAGAAGAAATAATAGAAGAAAACAAAATTAGGACTTGCGTGTTGAAACTTGCAAAGAGAGGTAAACATGAAAAATGTAATGATTCTGAAACGGCATTCTGCTTTTCAAGATTTCTATAGTAAGGCTGAAAATGCAGACAATTTGGAACATCAAGATTTCCCAACCCAGCTTGCATTTTTTTAAACTTCCTGTTGAGGCTGCGATGGTTCTGGAGTGGACTTCTTGCCTTCAGGTTGATCAATTATAAGTTTGGGAGGGACCAGGAGACTTTGGTGCTTTCTGAGCTTGATTGTTTTCTTGTAGATATTTCATTGCCAAACTAGGTAACTTCATCAGTGCTAGTAAGAAGTAGGGCCATGATGGTGAACCTATGGCACGCGTGCCACCTGTGGAGCCATATCAGTGGGCATGCGAGCTCAGCTCTGGTACGTATGTGTGCGCCGGCCAGCTGATTTTCAGGCCTTCTGTGCCCACCAGAAGTAGGGAAACAGACTGTTTCCTGCCTCCGAAGGGCCTGGGAGGATGAGGAAGGCCTATTCTTTGCTCTTCCTGGGCTCCAGGGCCTTTCTAGGAGCCTGAAAAGGGTGAAAACGGCCTCCCCACCCCCCAGGGAGGCCCTCCGGAGGCCAGAAATGGCCCATTTGCCGACTTCCAGTCCCACCAGAAGATGGTAAATGGGCCATTTCCCAACTTCCGGTGGGACCGGAAGTCAGCAAATGGGCCGTTTCCGGTCTTCAGAGGGCCTCTGGGGGTGGGGGGGGAAGGTCATTTTCACCTTCCCCAAGCTCCTAGAAAGCTCTGGAGCCTGGGGAGGGGGAAAAATGGGCCTACTGGGGGGAGCACAGGGAGACACGTATGCATGCGTGGGGCACATAGAATTATGAGTGTGGGTATGCGTGATCCACCCCGTACTCCCCCCGCTTTTGTCACGTGATGGCAAAAAGGTTAGCCATCACTGAGATAGGGTGTGCTCTCATTTTATGTCCTGGTGACTCTGCCTGTCAGTGTTGCTGGAAATGTTCTTGGAAGTTCTTTGGTTGGGCTGGTTACTGTTAACTGGTCTGGCAGTTTCTTGATTAGGGTTCTCCAAAAAAACCCCATTTTAACCCTGAGCTAGAAATATTCTCCTTTACGGGGAGGGGCTTTTTCACGTGAATATGCAATTCACATGAAATATCGGTTCCCTTTTATTTTGTATATCAAATGGTGAAATCAGAACAATAGACTTCCTCATTAATAAATACATTAGGGAAGGAGATTTCTACAGGTAATCCTTGATTTACCACAGTTCAAAGTTACAACATCACTGAAACAAGTGACTTATGACCATGTTTCGCACTTATGACCATTTGCAGCAGCCCCATGATCACATCATCAAAATTCAGACAGTTGACAACTGACTCATGAAAGTTGCAATGAGCCGGGATCATGTGATCACCTTTTGCGACCTTCTGACAAGCAAAGTCAAGGGGTAAACCAGATTCACTTACCAACTGTGGCAAGAAAGGTCGCAAAATGGGGCAAAACTCACTTAATGACATAAATTTGGGGCTCAATTGTGGTTGTAAGTCAAGGACTACCTGTATTTCATCCATACTGAAAAGATCTTAAAGGTTCCCCTCGCACATATGTACTAGTCCTTCCCGACTCTAGGGGGCAGTGTTCATCTCTGTTTCAAAGCCGAAGAACCAATGCTGTCCGAAGACATCTCCATGGTCATGTGGCTGGCATGACTAAATGCCAAAGGCACATGGAACACTGTTATCTTCCCACCAAAGGTGGTCCTTATTTTTCTACTTGCATTTTTTACGTGCTTTCGAACTGCTAGGTTGGCAGAAGCTGGGACAAGTAACGGGAACTCACCCCATTACTAGGGATTCGAACCGCTGAACTGCCGACCTTTTGATCGACAAACTCAGCGTCTTAGCCACTGAACCACCGCGTCCCTGAAGAAAAGATCTTAGAGAGGTATACTGTAGCTCTTTTCTCCTTTAGGAATTCTCTGACGTCAATTAGATATCACGCTGGGTCTCCATTCCTGCTTCCAAATGCTTTTAATATTGAATTGTTTTCTTCTGAGATTGTGTCTCTCATTGAGTGTCTGGCATTTACACAACAGCTAATGAATGAAGTGTGTCTGCATATAGTCGAAGACTCACATGGTTCTACTTTTTTCTCCAGATCACTGGGCCAAAAAAACTACTCACAATTTCCTTAAATCATGGGCTATATTTTGCTAAGATATTCGCCCACTTACAGTTCTAAAAATACTTTTTAGCAACAAAGTAGTACTAATAGTAGTAAAAAATCTCTGGTCATCTGTAGTGATTCTCAGTCATCCAGATCATGATTGTCCCAAGGTGCTTTTTCAGGAGGCAACTGGACTTTTTGGTTTTTTCTTTGAGGATGTTTCGCCTATCATCCAAGAAGCTTCTTCAGCTCTGATTGGATGGTGGGGAATGGAAGGATTTATATTCCTTGCATACAGCTGGTCATTTGCATCCTTTTAGAGGGTCACTGAAGCACTTGGAGGCTTATCATATACAGCACCCTTTGAATGGTGTGGGAGTACAAATGGATTTCCAGAGGGAAAAAAATTGCAGACTACAGGAACGAGGAACACTATTCAGAAGATCTTGACAACACAGATAAGCCTAAGTGCTTCAACAACCCTCTAAAACAGGGGTGTCAAACTTGTGGGCCGTCTGCCAGATGCGTCATGCACTGGCCACACCCATACCCAGTTTAGCGAAGGAGAAAAAGTCAGGGGTGAAATGCTCCCAGTTCGGAATGGCTTGGGCGAGAAGGTAGCGATGGCGGCGGGCAGTTCGGAGAACCGGTAGCAAAAATCCCTGCCCCCGCCCCCCATGCCCAGCTGAGCCGCGCAATCATCAGAGGCTTTTTTTCTTTTAAATGGCTCTGACGATCCAAGCTCTGACGATCCCAGCTGAGTTGCCTGATTGGCAGAGGGATTTTTAAAAGCCCTCCGATGATCAGGCAACTCTGCTGGGATCGTCAGAGCCTTTTGAAAGCATTTTTTACATGGTTTTACATGTAAAAAATGGTTTTAAAAGTAAAAAAAAATTGGCCGCGCCCACCCAGTCACATTACCCACACCACCACCACCAAACCATGCCCACAGAACCGTAGTAACAAATTTTAGATTTCACCATTGGAAAAACTCCTGATATGTCACATTACGCCACCATGACAACGTGAGTTTGACATCCCTTTTCTTTTCCTTTTAGTATTTTTAGTTTATCCAAATTCAGTTTTAAATCCAGTTATAAAATTTCCTTTCTTGGGCTTTAATATTTTAACCTCGTCTTTGTTCTTCCTTCAAGCATCAAAACTGTCAAAGATATTTCAAATCCTCATAAAAAGTACTTTCCCTCGGGTTTCTTTTTCTTATATTAATTTTAATTTCTCCAAATCCAATTTTAAATCCAGTTATAAAGGTTTTTTTCTTGGGCTTTGGTACTTTAACCACCTCTTTATTCTTCTCCCGCCATTAAAATTCCCAAGTGCCAATTAGCTGCTCATTTCCACTCCGGGACACCTTTGAAGTTTTTTTTTTTTAAATTTCCTTTTTTACTTGTGAGTTGGCCAATCACTCACCCAGTACCAGCACTCCATTCAAATACCGCTCCTGCACAAAAATCTTACTCTGGTTGCCCCAGCTTCAGAGCAGTCATTTTTTAATGGCCACCACTCTTGCCACCGGTTCAAAGAGCAGCCTCTGACCTTTCAAGGAACTTGCCTATTCGTCTTGGTCATCCGAGGCACCTCTCCTTCTCACCATCCCTACAGGACAGTTCTGGTCCAAAGACCCACCGACAGCGGTTTGTCCGGCTGGATTTTCATAGAGCTCATCGGAGCCCGTTATTTTTCCACCCAATCTCGTCGCAATACTTCCGGTTTCTGACACCCCTTTTCTAAAAGGGTGCAAATGACCAGCTGGCTGCAAGGAATATAAATCCTTCCATTCCCCACTATCCTGCCAGAGATGAAGAAGCTTCTTGGATGAGAAGCAAAACGTCCTCAAAGAAAAAACCAAAAAGTCCAGTTGCCTCCTGAAAAAGCACCTTGGGACTCTGGTCATGTAGAATGCCTACATTGTGACAATTGACTATTCTTTTACCAGGTTTTTCGGGTTCCTTTGATGTTGTAAGTTCCATAGGCTGTTTTGTTTTGCTTTAATATCTTGTGGTGGTTTACCTTTTGTTGCTGCTGGTTCGGTTTTGGGAGGGCCTGCCTCAAAAGTAACAGTCCGGACTGGGATTTTGGGGGGGAAAATAAACATTATTTAGATACACTCATATATCTTTATTTTCTGGGAAAGCTTGCTATAACTTTGTAACATACAATCTATTGAAAAATGTGTTTAAATTACAATTGAAACCAGAATACTATCTATTAAATATTAGGCCAGATAAGATAGGCACGAATATATGGTGTTTGATTACATATATCACAACCGCAGCAAGAATATGTTTTGCTCAACATTGGAAGGGGAAAGACCTACCGGCTGAAGATTTGATTCTGGGAAAAATTATTGAATATGCGGAAGCTGACAGGTTAACAAAAATTTTGAGAGATCAAAAGGACTCTGTATATTTTCAATGCTTGGACCAATGGTATACTTGGTTGAATAATAAAATAAAAAAAGGATAAGGTTAGTGTAGATTTTATTTTTTATTTGTATATCTTGACTGAAGTTAATATATTCTGTAAAGCTCCCGTCGCGATCTGTGTGTGAATAAATATTTTGTTGTAAAGAAATAAATAAAATTTTAAAAAGAAAAAGAAAAATGTGTTTAAAAACTCTGAAAGGAAACCCATAGAAAGAAAAGCTAACATGCATATATATAAATCTTAAGGAAAATTAATAAGGAGTAATCTTCCCTAGGAACACACTGTTTTTACCTTTAACAGTGGATAATTCTGGAGTGGAGGATCTGGTGTTCTAGTTATCCTTTTTTTTTTCTTTTAAAACGTTCAATAGAAGTTACATCTGAGCAAGTACACTGCACAAAAGGTTCATCTGCAAATTAGCTGACATTTATTACTTTGCATTGGGATGGACAAGGTTTTGGGGACAAAGGATGCAGCTTGCTTTCGGATAATATGCTGAACGTTATGCTTTCAGGCTGAGATAATAACAGTAAGAGAGTTGGAAGGGACCTTGGAGGTCATCTAGTCCCGTGATGGCGAACCTATGGCACACACACGCGGAGCCATATCAGTGGGCACACAAGCTCAGCTCCGGCACACTGATTTTCAGGCCTTCTGGGCCCACCAGTCGGCAAACAGGCCATTTCCAGCCTCCGGAGGCCCTCCCGGGGGAGGGGTGGGGAAGGTTGTTTTTGCCCTCCCCAGGCTCCTAGAAAGTTTCTGGAGCTGCGGGAGAGTGAAAAACAGGTCTACTGGGCCCACTGTGCCATCATGTGCCAAAAGCAGGGGGAGCATGGGGGGGTCACACGCACATGCGTGGGGGGGCAGGGCACATAAAATTATGGGTGTCGGCACGCGCACGCGCACGCGTGCCCCCCCCCGTGCTCCCCCTGCTTTTGGCATGCAACGGCAAAAAGATTAGCCATCACTGATCTAGTCCAACCCCCTGCTCACGCAGGAGACTTATACCAGGGATTTGAACCGCCGAACTGCCGACCTTTCTCACCGACAAGCTCAGCATCTTAGCCACTGAGCCACCTAGCCAGGCTAGGACAACTGGTTTTTTAAAAGTTGGCTGATATTTCAATGCAATTATATGAGGAGACTTCCTGATAGAGGTAATGCCTGACTTACAACCACAATTCAAACCAGAAGTTCCATTACTCACTGAGCAAGAAAGTTCTTAAGTGAGTCACGCCTGACTTTATGATCTTTTTTGCCACAGTCATTAAACAAACCACTGCAGTTGTTAAGTGAATCATATAGCTGTAAACAAATCCAGCTTCCTCTATTGACTTTGTATGTTTGGAAACTGGGAAGGTTACAAACGGTGATTGCATGTTCACATGACACATTACAAATACATACCCATTGCCAGTGCCAGAATTTCGATCACATGACCATGGGGAGGTTGCAATGGTTGTAAGTGCAAGGACTTTTTTTTCAGCGCCGTGGGAACTTCAAATGGAACTAAACTAATGGTTGCATGTCAAAAGGTCTACCTGTCACAATTTGCCTTGGGATACAACATTTTATAATCTGGCACCTGATGTTGGAGGTGGGCGTGGAAGCAATAAGACTGCGTCTGGGAGTCCTATGTGGCTCAGGAGCTACAAATTATATTCTGTATAACCTTATGTCACAAGCTGATCTACAGTGAGGCTGAAGGGTAACTTGAATTTTATCTTGGTTTTACCAGAGGCTTCGCGCTTGGCAGCTTGGGCATCTGCTGTTTGCTTTGCTGGTGTTGCTGGTGCAGAAGGTTGTGGTTCTGTTGTTGGTTTGGGCGTTGGTTCAGCTGGGGCTGCTTTTTAGACAGAGATAGAGATAGATAGATAGATAGAAAGACAGACAGACAGACAGACAGATATAGATGAGAGAGAGAATGTTATAGATAGATAGATAGATAGATAGATAGATAGATAGATAGATAGATAGATAGATAGATAGATAGATAGAGATGAGAGAGAGAATGTGATTAGATAGATAGGCAGACAGATAGACAGATAGATAGATATAGATGAAAGAGAGAGAATGTTATAGATAGATAGATAGATATAGATGAGAGAATGTTATAGATAGATAGATAGATAGATAGATAGATAGATAGATAGATATAGATGAGAGAGAGAGAATGTGATTAGATAGATAGGCAGACAGATAGACAGACAGATAGATATAGATGAAAGAGAGAGAATGTTATAGATAGATAGATAGATAGATAGATAGATAGATAGATAGATAGATAGATATAGATGAGAGAATATTATAGATAGATAGATAGATAGATAGATAGATAGATAGATAGATAGGTGGGTGTGAGTGGGGAGAAGGAGGAAGGAGAGGGATATATATATATATATATTAGTGATAGAGATAAATAAGAGAGATAGAGACAGAGAGATGATAGAGAGAGTGATAGAGATAGTTAGATAGGAGAGAGAGAGAGAAAGACAGATAGACAGACAGACATGATAGAGAGAGTGATAGAGATAGATAAATAGGAGAGAGAGAAAGATAGTTAGATTAAACGTATAAAGAAAAATTACAACCCACAAAGACAAAACAAGGAAAGCCATTATCTTCAATTAAGTAACAAAGGGTGACTTACCCGTTGCTGGCGTTGTTGCTGGTGCAGCTGCTGGCGCTTGTGGTGCTGTTGTCGGTTTTGCTGCTGGCTCAGTCTTTAAAGGGGCCGCCGCAGGAGGAACGGTAGGACCTGCTGAATTATTTTTTTAAAAGTATAGACTTTAAAAACACAAAGAAAAAACAACAATCCACAAGGAAACAATAAGGATAGATGTTATCTCTAATCATTTGATAAGGGATCATTTACCAGGAGCTGCGGGACTGGTTGCTATTACTGGTTGTGGAGCTGTTTGACGTTTTCATTTCCAAGGAGATTTGCCAGAAGATATAATAAAAGAAAAAATATTAAGACTTGTATATAGAAACTTGACATAAAGAACAAACAAGGAAAGGTATTATCTTCAATTAAGTGAGAAAAGGTGATTTACCTGTTGCAGCTGCTGGAGCTTGTGGTTCTGGTGTCGGTTTTGATGCTGGCTGAGTCGTTAAAGGGGCCGCCGCAGGAGGACTGGTGGGACCCGCTGAATTTTAAAATATACATATATACATTAAACACACACACACACACACACACACACACACACACACACAACCAACAACCCACAAAGAAAAAAAGAAGAAAAAATGATATCTCTGAATGATAAGGAGATATTTACCAGGAGCCTGGGGACTGCTGGTTGTTACTGGTTGTTGAACTGAGTGAAGTTTTCATTTCCAAGGCAAATTTTCCAGAAGAAATAATGGAAGAAGAAAAATATATTAGGATGATAGAGATAAATAGATAAATGAAAAAAAAAATATGGAGAGACAGTTTGGTCTAGTGGTTAGGGCACCAGACTAGAAAGTGGAGATGGTGAGTTCGCTAGCCTTCAAAGCTATCTGGCTGACTTTTGGCCAGTCACACTCTCTCAGCCCAACCCACCTCACAGGACTGTTGTTGTAGGGAAAAATAGGAGGAAGAAGGTTTTTTGGATATGTTCCCCATCTTGAATTATTTGTATAAATAATATAGGTTGGATAGAAATAAATAAAATACATGTAAATATAGATACACACAGAGAGAGAGAGAGAGAGAGAGAAACACATAATACTAGCTGGACACCCATCCTTCGCTATGAAACTATGTGAGCGGGCTTGATAAATTGACACATAAAGCCTGAAACTTAATGTAGAATGTGTAACTCCGTAGCATCAGAGTGTCGTAATATAAGGCAACTGGCAGTTGGAACAGAGTTCCTTTCAGATGGGGAGGGGGAGTAGAACATCTAATTCCTTAGCATCAGAGCGTGTGAATATAATACTGTATATGAAATACTAATGATCTGATGGTCATTTTGAAAAATCCTTTCTTAGCGAGCATCTAGAAGCCAAGAGGAATGTACATGCCAAATTTCAAGTTTGTAGGCTTTACCATTCTGGAGATGGTAAATCTCCAGAATGGAGATGGAATGGAAATCACCATTCTGGAGATTTCATGATGAGTGAATGGTATTTGGCTTCTCTATCTCTATCTCTATCTCTATCTCTATCTCTATCTCTATCTCTATCTCTATCTCTATCTATCTATCTATCTATCTATCTATCTATCTATCTATCTATCTATCTATCTATTATCCATCTATCTAAAATTTAATTTCAGTTCCTTTGTTTTTGTTTTCAAGTTTATATACTTGAAAAGAAAGGAAAGCAAAGGAAACATAATGAAACTGAAATTATACTCTGCCTTTCAAAATTTATGTAGTAAAACCAAGAATTCAGATAATTTGGAATGTCAAAATTCTCATCCCACCTTGTACTTTAACTTCCGGTTGAGGCTGAGATGGTTCTGGAGTGGACTTCTTGTCTACAGGCTGAACACTTCCTGGCTGAGGAGGGACTTTTGCATCACTCACAATATCTGTAGATGAGAAAGTCCAAGCAGTGTGAGTAAACAGGGCTTATGAAGTGATTTATATTACAAGCAGGAACAATGAGACCATGTCCCAATGTATTTATTTTTCAGTAAAGCAATTTATGTGAAACTAAGTTCCTCTTTTATAGTTTATATCAACTCGATTGCAGGAAATATGACTTCAGCAACAGAGTGGTCAATGCCTGGAATGCACTACCTGACTCTGTAGTTTCATCCCAAAACCTCACCCCATTCCTAAGAGGTCTGTAAGGGGCGTGCATAAGAGCACCAGCGTGCCTACCATCCCTGTCCTAATGTTCCCTTTAATTGTATTCATTTTATGTATTCAATTTATGCTTATATATATTATCTAATATGTACTCGACAAATAAATAAATGTAAAAAAATTAGTTATAATGGTACAATTCCTTATTAACAGATTTCGCATGGATGAATTTTTTTGTTTTACATATCCCAAAAAGTTCTCAGGTTGGGTTAACATGTCCTCCTTGTTCTCTTCATGATCTCCACCTGGAAAGCATAGCCTTAAAATCAAACCTTGTCCAGCTTTTTAAGTATCTCTTTCTGAGCTGCTTTTCTCCATGGCACACTGCCTCCTAAAGAAGCACTAATGGAACCTCAAGTTAACAAGCTGTACTATGATCTTGATTAGTACTCTCTCACCAGCTTGCACTGATGCCTGAAATTGACGACCGTAATCAGTTACAAGGTTGAAGGCTTTTGCCCCTTAAATGATTCTGACACCTTTTTGTAATTGAAAAACCAATCTTTCTCATGCTGGAAAAAGTAATTTCATATAAGCCCATTCATGTAGACCCAAGTCATTATTGTCCTCCTTTTCCTCCTCCTCCCCTCCTCCTCCTCCTCCTCCTCCTCCTCCTCCTCCTCCTCCTCCTCCCAGTTTTACATTGTAATTTTTATTGCAGGTTCCAAGAAAATCAAATAATTAGTGTGTCCTCCTCCTCCTGCCCCCATTTGTGCTGTTTTCAAAATGTCCATGTCCTCCTTTGTCTGTTCCGAAACCTGATAACTCAATTCTCAAAACGAGGGATCTCCAAACTTGGCCATTTTAAGTCTTGTGAATTTCAACTCCCGGAATTCCCCAGCCAGCCGTTTTATATAGATTTCAGTACAGATCAGAGATGGGTTTCAGCAGGTTCTGACCAGTTCTGGAGAACCGGTAGCGGAAATTTTGAGTAGTTTGGAGAACCGGTAGTAAAAATTCTGACTGGCCCCGCCCCATCTATTGTCTGCCTCCCAAGTCCCAGATGATCGAGAGGAAATGGGGATTTTGCAGTAACCTTCCTCTGGATTGGGGAGGGAATCGAGATTTTACAGTATCCTTCCACTGCCATACCCACAAAGCCACGCCCACAAAGCCATGCCATGCCCACAAAGCCACACTCACAGAACCGGTAGTAAAAATTTTTGAAACCCATCACTGGTACAGATAGTCCTTGAGCTACAACTGAGCCCAAAATTTCTGTTGCTAAGTGAGGCATTTGCAGGGGTGAAATGTAAAATGTGCTATTACCGGTTCTGTGGGCATGACTTGGGGGGTGGGGGGGTGGGGGGGTTATGTGACTGGGTGGGCGTGGCCAACTTCTTTTTTTTTTTAACTTTTCAAAGCATTTTTTCTAATGCTTTGAAAAGCCTCTGGTGATCAAGCAACTCAGCTGGGATCGTCAGAGACTTTTCAAAGCATTTTTTTAACCACCTCTTCGGCCAAGAGGTTGCAGAAAAAAATGCTTTGAAAAGCCTCTGAGGATCCCAGCTGAGCCGTGAGATCATCAGAGGCCTTTTTTTTACTTTTAAAAGCATTTTTTCGTCGGAAGAGGTTGTAGAAAAAATGCTTTTAAAACTAAAAAAAAAAAGCCTCTGATGATTGTGCGACTCAGCTGAGCATGGTGGGGGGGGGGCACAGGGATTTTTCTACAGGTTCTCCGAACCACCCATCTCCATCGCTCCTGGATTGGGCGATCCGGTCCGAACCGGGAGCATTTCACCCCTGGGCATTTGTTAAGTGAATCTTACCCCATTTTACTACCTTTCTTGTCACCCTTGTTAAGTGAATCACTGCAGTTAAGTTAATAACACGCTTATTACATGAATCTTGCTTCCCCATTGACTTTGCTTGTCAGAAGGTCGCAGAAGAGATCCCATGACCTTGGGACACTGCAATTGTCATAAATAGGAGTCCATTGCGAAGCATCTGAATTTTGATCCCATGACCATGGGGATGCCGCAACAGTCGTAAGTGTCAAAAATGGTCGTAAGTCACCTTTTTCAGGGCAGTTGTAACCTCGAAAGGTCACTAAATGAACTGTTGTACTTCGAGGACTACCTGTACTGATGCATTTCTTTTTCCTTGTTTTGCAGGTATACACATCTAGCTTGGTGGGGATGTTGGAGACCTTGTCTGGACTTGCCTGGCACTGCTTCATTGCTTAAGTCATTTGGATTTCCAGATGTGCTTCTCCTCTAACATCTGGACCATTTGTTGTGCGGCAGGCCCAAAAGACTAATTACAACTTCCTTTACGGATGGTATTTTGCTAATACGTTAGTCCATGTACATTTTTTAAAAAGATTTTTTACTAACCAAAGATTGGAAGTAAAAAAAAAAAAATCTCTGGCCAACTAGAATAGAATAGAATAGAATAGAATAGAATAGAATAGAATAGAATAGAATAGAATAGAATAGAATAGAATAGAATAGAATAGAATAACAGAGTTGGAAGGGACCTTGGAGGTCTTCTAGTCCAACCCCCTGCCCAGGCAGGAAACCCTACACCACTTTAGACCAATGGGTATCCAACATCTTCTTAAAAACTTCCACTGTTGGAGTCTTCACAACTTCTGGAGGCAAGTTGTTCCACTGATTAATTGTTCTGCCAGGAAATTTCTCCTTAGTTCTAAGTTGCTTCTCTCCTTGATTACTTTTCCACCCATTGCTTCGTGTCCTGCCCTCAGGTGCTTTGGAGAATAGCTTGACTCCCTCTTCTTTGTGGCAACCCCTGAGATTGGAACACTGCTGTCATGTCTCCCCTAGTTTCTTTTCATTAAACTAAACATACCCAGTTCCAACAACCATTCTTCATTTGTTTTATCCTCCAGTCCCCTAATCATCTTTGTTGCTCTTCTCTGCACTCTTTCTAGAGTCTCAACATCTTTTTTACATCGTGGTGACCAAAACTGAATGCAGTATTCCAAGTGTGGCCTGACCAAGGCATTATAAAGTGGTATTAACACTTCACGTGATCTTGATTCTGTTCCTCAGTTTATGCAGCCTAGAACTGTGTTGGCTTTTTTGGCAGCTGCTGCACATGGCTGGCTCATATCTAAATGGTTGTCCACTAGGACTTCAAGATCCCTCTCCAGTTAATACTATTGAGCAAGGTATCACATATGCTGTACCTGTGCATTTTGTTTTTCTTGCCTAAATATAGAACCTTACTTTTTTCCACCATTGAATTTCATTTTGTTAGATAGAATGTCCACATTGTGACAATTTACCATTCTTCTAGTTTTACCTGGTTTTTCGGGTTCCTTTGTCTTTGATGTTGGAAGGTCCACAGGTTGTTTTGTGGTTGTTTTAGCATCCGAAGATGGTGGCGGGCCTGGGACTTAGAAAAAAAAAACCCATATATTTTACATAAGCCAGTTTGATTCAGTGGTTAAGGCATCAGGCTAGAAACGAGGAGACTGTGGGTTTACTTATTTATTTAAAATATTTACATAGCTACCCATCTTATACCAAACCCTGAGTGGGTCCCAATCAAGAATTAAAACAATATAAAAATCATATAAAAACTACCCTATATTCTATGTCAGGGCGTTGATTAATCCCATTCTGGCTATGAGATAATCGCGCCTGATTAGAGGAGTGGATCGAGACCTTTTTCCTTGTTGCATACTATCAAGAGCCTTGATAGTACAGTGGTTTAGTGCACCCTGTTATTAACACAGCTGCCTGCAATTTCTGCTGGTTCGAATCTCTCCAAGGCTCAAGGTTGACTCAGCCTTCCATCCTTTCTAAGGTAGGTGAAATGAGGACCCAGTTTGTGGGGGCAATAAGCTGACTTTGTATAAAATATACAAAAGAATGAAGGCTATTGCTTAACGCATTGTAAGCCGCCCTGAGTCTCCGGAGAAGGGCGGCATATAAATCAAATTAAAAAAAAGAAAAAGAAAAAAGAAAACAAACCCCGAAGAAAATATCTTCTAAGAAAACTCATTTATTTGTTATAAAGAAAATAAAACATCTCACTAACTAAGAAAAGTAATTGTTACATTTTTGCAAAAGTTCGTGCCGGCTATTTCTCAACCGGACCTTTCTGGCAAGAGAACAAAGGAAAAAATGAGTGTGAAGGAATGTGGGTGGACATGCGCAGTTTAGCTTACTGATAACAATTCTTGGCAAGGTATGGAAAGTCTGATAGTCCAGAAAAGATGAGCTCAGCTGGTAAATAAAAGAACGCAGTGACATTCTAGTTGTGCCTTAGGTATGAAAGCTGGCCGGGTGACTTGGGTGAATCAGTCTTTCTCAGCCAACTACATCAGCTTGGACAAAAAACTGGTCAGTTGATTCCTATTGCAACCCACAGATTGATACTTGATTGACCTCAAAAAGAAGAGTAGACTCTACACTTGTGGGAAAACGCTAGGAAGAAAAAAAACACACCATATATCTATTTTCTAGAAAGTTTCTAGAACGCTGTAACAAGGCCAATTGGGAACAAAAATACTTAACAAATCTAGAAGAAACCCAAAGAAAACAATATCATTAATTGACTGTGTATATTGTATATTGGTCTTAAGGAAACTTTAATCTTTTCAAGACTGCTAATACTGAAGGATTCTGGAGCAGGGTCTACTGTATCGGTTTCACTTTTTTTCTTTAAAAAAAATCAATAGAGCTTACAGGATATCTGACTAAGTATATAAAAGTTTGGTCTGGAATTTAGCCAATATTTATTACTCGTCAACTTTAGTTTGTGATAGATCCGGACAAATGATTTTTTAAAGAATTAATTCACTTTTTTTTTAAAAAATTTGATTTATATGCCGCCCTTCTCCGGAGACTCAGGGCGGCTTACAATGCGTTAAGCAATAGCCTTCATACTTTTGTATATTTATACAAAGTCAGCTTATTGCCCCCACAAACTGGGTCCTCATTTAACCTACCTTAGAAAGGATGGAAGGCTGAGTCAACCTTGAGCCTGGTAAGATTCGAACCTGCAGTAATTGCAGGCAGCTGTGTTAATAACAGGGTGCTTAAACCACTGTACTACCAAGGCCCTTTCAGCGTAATTAGCCAGCATTATTACTCATTTCATAATTTGCCCTGCCGTATTTGAAATTATAATTTGTCACTTAGTGTTGCAGAAGGTGAGGTTTTGATCATTGATCATTTCTTTGGTTTTACCATGTTTTTCAGGTTCCTTTGTCTCCGAAGTTGGAGCGGCCGCCGGTTGTTTTGCTGTTGTTTTAGCATCTGTAGGTGGTGGAGCTGCACCCTCTTTTGGTGCTGGCTCAGTTTTTGGTGGGCCTGTTTCAACGGTAGCAGTGGGATCTGAAATTTTGGAAAAAAAATAAATATGAAATGCCTCTTGCAGAAATTCATGCATTTTTGTTTGTTTGTTTCTGTGAAAGCTCGTAATAGCAGTAGCAATAGCACTTAACACTTACATACCGCTTCACAGTGCTTTTACAGCCCTGTCTAAGCGGTTTACAGAGTCGGCATTTTGCCCCCAACAATCTGGGTCCTCGTTTTATCTTCCTTGGGGAGTGGTGCGATGGCCTAGAGCCGTGATGGCGAACCTATGGCACATGTGCCACAAGCGGGGGAGGCAGAGCCATGCGGTGGTGCACACGATATTTCAATGCCCCCTGTGCCCACTCCCCACGCATGCACACACAACCCCCCCCCCGCACCATTTTGAGCCTAACAGACCCCCTGAAGTCCAGAGGCTGGAAACGGCCCATTTCCAGACTTCTGGTAGGCCTGGTAGGCCGTTTTTGCCCTCCCAGGCTCCAAGAAAGCCTTTTTGGAGCCTGGGGAGGACAAAAAAACACCTTCCCCACCTGGAGCCCTCCAGAGGCCAAAAATGCCCTGAGAGCCTTCGGCGAGCCTGTACTTATCTGCATCCAAAACATGCCTGGAGATGGGAGGGGAGGGATGGTGTGGGCCAGGCCAGTGGGGAGCTGAGCTAGGGCAACGGCTCGCGTGCCTGCACATATCTCCGTGTGCCACCTGTGGCATGCGTGCAAAAGGTTAGCCATCACTGGCCTAGAGGTAGAGCTCTCACCTCACAATCAGGAGGCTGTGAGTTTGATCCTAGGTAGAGGCAGATATTTCTCTCTCTGGGCAAAATGAGAATATATATGCTGAACAAAACTCTGCATTGGTGACAGGAAGGGCATCTGGCCAGTAAACACTCTGCTAGCTCGATTCAGTTGCCCAGACTCCACCCCGCAAGGGATTATGTGGTAGGAAGGAGAAGGAGAAGGAGAAAATTTTATCTTCCTTGGAATGATGGAAGGATGAGTCAACCTTGAGCCGGTGAATTATTGAACTGTTGGCAGTCGGCAGAATTAGCCTGCAAATCTGCATTCTAGCCACTGCACCGCCATGGCTCATGGCAATCTCAATCTCACAAACAAACCAAACTTGTTAAATCCCTTAATCCCACTGAAAAGATTGTTTAACAAATTCTGAGGCTAAAACAGAACTCTAAAATACTGACTGTGTGTTTATGCATGTGAGTCTTGAAGGACAGATACTAAACATTTATATTATTAGGAAAAATCAACTACATCCAAAAAAATGGGATATATTACCCTTCTTTTTAGCATCGGAGGACCCTGGAGTCGAAGTCTGCTTTACTGATTCCACTGTAGTCTGTTTTGAAAACATTTACAGTGACTGCAAATAAATATAGATGAGAAAACTGTTATGTTCTGCACACAAAAATGATATCAATTCCTAGGATCTGTGGAGACTGTCACGCACTGTGACCTGGAGAAATGCCAGAGAAAACAATTGTTTTGTCACTCCATGACATCAAGAGGAATAGAACCATCACGTTTCCTTGGTGGTTACATCTGGATTCAAGAGTTTCTGAGTTTTCTACACTGCAGAGCAAGAATTATGGAAAGTGCTGAAGAGGAGTGACTGTAACTTGGATGTGCTACTGTCTTTTGCAACCTTTTCAAAGATTGGTGCCTCTTCAAAAATTTTGCATAACTTATATGCATTTAATTCAATAAATTGAGAAGAATGTACATCTAATTAATGTTTTTAAATGTCAGGCTACAAATTAGTTATATGATAGACAGACAGACAGACAGACCGATAGATGGATGGATGGATGGATGGATGGATGGATAGAAGATAGAAAGAATAGAATAGAATAGAATAGAATAGAATAGAATAGAATAGAATAGAATAGAATAGAATAGAATAGAATAGAATAGAATAGAATAGAAGTGTGATTGGACACACTAGGAATTTGTCTTGGTGCATACGCTCTCAGTGTACATAAAAGAAAAGATACATTTGTCGAGAATCATAAGGTACAACACTTAATGATAGTCATAGGGTACAAATAAGCAATCAAATTATATTAGGAAACAGTCAATATAAATCATAAGGATACAAGCAACAAGGTTACAGTCATGCAGTCATAAGTGGGAGGAGATGGGTTATAGGAACGATGAGAAGATTAATAGTAGTGCAGACTTAGTAAATAGATTATCTATCTATCTATCTATCTATCTATCTATCTATCTATCTATCTATCTATCTATCTATCTATCAATCTATCAGATAGATAGATAGATAGATAGATAGATAGATAGATAGATAGATAGATAGATATAGATACTGTGTTTCCCCCAAAATAAGACCCTGTCTTATATTTTTTTGAACCCTGAAATAAACGCTTGGCCCTATTTGTGGGGAGGTCTTATTATTTTGGGGTGTGTGGAGCAAGATGGGGATCCTCTTGCCATCGTACCTGATTTCCAGCTCTGTCTCCCTAACCCTAACCAGAGGAAATGGTGGGGACCGGCTGTGCATGCGGTTAAATATTTTGGGGGAGGACTTATTTTCAGGGGAGGGCTTTTTTTCAGGGAAACACAGTAGATAGATAGAATTTTGTACCTGGATAGGGAACTTTTTCACACTGAAAAGAGGCACTTGGACTTCAAACAATACTCTGGACATCATGCTTCAATGTATTGGATTAGAACAACTTGTTTTTTTTTTAATGGATTCACATCCAAATTTAGTTAGGTAAGGACAGTTAAGTAATTTCATAATTTGTAACTTCGTATTGCTAGGGCTGTGACAGTCACCAGGATGCTTGTGACTTTGGGGCCGCAGACTGTATCATTCTATTGTGTATTAAAATAATCTAATACATTTTTTTATTAATCATACATGTGAGGCATCAATGATGCTGTAGACCTAATCACAAAACCTCTTGAGGAACTTTTGGATATCATTCATGTTCCCTCTATAGCTCTTGATAGGGTAGCATGTCTCCTGTCATAAATGACTGAATACAATGCAATGCAATACAATACAAATTACAATCTTAATTTTAATTTTTCATTTTGAAAAAAAGATTGCCGAAAAGGTTGGCATTTCTGGCAAGTGCATCTCTTAAAATATTTGGGGAAACCAAATACAATAACACTGCTCCCATTGTTTCCGCTCCAAATTATAAGAATGTGGTATTTGTTTTGTCATATAGCAAGGCCTTTATACCTTTCCTTATTTTCTTAATTATGCTCAGTCAGAGTACAATGGAAACAATCCTACGTGATAAAGGTGAGAAAATAAATTATCTGTTTCGTTAAATAACGTTTCTTGATGCTTGGTTTTGAAAGAAGAAAAAACATTTCACACCGTCAGTGGGAATTCAGGGAGAGTCCCTGAAATCAGCAATTTGATTTAAGCCAGGGAAAAAAGGAATCCATTTCTTTTTAGAATAGAATAAAAGAGTTGGAAGGGACCTTGGAGGTCTTCTAGTCTAACCCCCTGCTTAGGCAGGAAACCCTACATCACTTCAGACAAACGGTTACCCAATCTCTTCTTAAAAACTTCCAGTGTTGGAGCATTCAGTATTATTCTGTGTAGGGGTCTCCAACCTTGGCCACTTTAAGACTTGTGGACTTCAAAGTTGCCAAAGTTGAAGACCCCTGCTCTATTCTGTCTCTAATGTTTCAGGGACATCCACCAGATTGATTAATTTATGATAACACATAGTCCTTACAGATTCCCATGGTTGTAGGTGTGGAAATGTGGGAAAACAGCAGGGAAAAACTCTGCAACAATGTAAACTGGAGAGGCAGATGAAAAAAAAAATTATTAAAACGCTTACTGGTGATGAAGATTGGGAGTGTCTATGGAAATTCTCAGTCATCCAAGTCATGGTTGTCCCAAAGGTGCTTTTTCAAAAGGCAATTGGACTTTGTTTTTCTTAAGTTTTCTTAAGTTTTTCTTAAGGAGCCTGAGTGGCGTAGGAGGCTAATGCCTCCTACTAAGGCAGCATTTAACATCCAGCTGCCTGCAATTACTGTGAATTCAATTCTCACCAGGCTCAAGGTCGACTCAGCCTTCCATCCTTTCTAAGGTGGGTAAAATGAGGACCCGGTTTGTGGGGGCAATAAGTTGACTTTGTATAAATATACAAAAGTATGAAGGCTATTGCTTAACGCATTGCAAGCCGCCCTGAGTCTCCGGAAAAGGGCGGCATATAAAAATAAATAAATAAATAAATAAATAAATAAATAAATAAATAAATAAATAAATAAATAAATAAGTTGCCTTTTGAAAAAACACCTCTGGGACATGAGGATTGTGGGGGTTATTTATATATTCTTCTAGTACATTCTTATTTATTTTTTCACATTTTCTCTATTTTTTCCCTTTTGCACCATTTTCTCTATTTTTCTTTCTTTTACTTTGTATTAGTTTTTACTAGTGCAATTATAATCGTCAGCAAAATAGTTTGGGAGGGAAAAAAAAATTAAAACCAGAGAAGCCACATGGAGAAGAACAGCCCAGCCGAGACACTTCAGTGTACATGAATTTTATGTTGCATTTCATCTCTCTCTTTTTCTTCTAGACTTTCTTCATATTTTCAGATCATTTGTTTCCTATGATGATGATGATGATGATGATGATGGCCCATGGCACAAGTCAGCCAGATGTTCAGACTGGATTTGTCATTTTTATTAACTTGAGTCCTTCTAAGAACCTGGAATAGGCAGAAGTGAATCTTGGATGGGTGTCGGAGACAACTTCGCAGGATGGAAGCCACCTTTTGCAATGGACTGATGGTGATGTTGCCAACGCTTCAAGTGCTCCAGATGTTTTGTATCGCACTCAAGGCACCTGCTATCTTTGCCTTCCCCATCGCAGGATGGAAGCCACCTGTTGCAACTGACTGAGAGTGATGTTGCCAATGCTTCAAACATTCTTCAAGTGGCACTCCAGATGTTTTGGATCACACTCAAGGCACCAATGGGTGCTATCTTTGCCTTCACCATTGCAGGATGGAAGCCACATTTTGTAATTGACTGATAGTGATGTTGCCAACGCTTCAAGTGCTCCAGATGTTTTGGATCGCACTCAAGGCACCTGCTATCTTTGCCTTCCCCATTGCAGGATGGAAGCCACATGTTGTAATTGACCGACAGTGACGTTGCCAAACGCTTCAAACATTCTTCAAGCGGCACTCCAGATGTTTTGGATCGCACTCAAGGCACCAATGGGTGCTATCTTTGCCTTCACCATTGCAGGATGGAAGCCACATTTTGTAATTGACCGACAGTGACGTTGCCAAACGCTTCAATCATTCTTCAAGCGGCGCTCCAGATGTTTTGGATCGCACTCAAGGCACCAATGGGTGCTATCTTTGCCTTCCCCATCGCAGCTTGGAAACCACCTTTTGCAACTGACTGATAGTGTCGTTGCCAATGCTTCAAGCATTCTTCAAGCGGCGCTCCAGATGTTTTGGATCGCACTCAAGGCACCAATGGGTGCTATCTTTGCCTTCACCATTGCAGGATGGAAGCCACCTTTTGTAATTGACTGATAGTGACGTTGCCAAACGCTGACATTCTTCAAGCGGCAATCCAGATGTTTTGGCTCGCACTTAGTGGGTGCTATCACCACTCCTTCCGTTGGCGGGCCTTCCTATCTTCTCATTTAATTATCAATCTTGCCTGATGATGATGATGATGATGATGATGATGATGATGATGATGGTGATGGTGTGTAGGCATCCTTTAAAGATTTATTCTGGCCAGAAAGCCAGAGCCCGGAGGAAGAGAAGAGAAGAGAGGCGTGGGGGGGAAAAAAAAGGCGCACGGGATGCCCACCTGTAGCCCCGCGGGCGCTGGAGCGGGATGGGGTGGGGGGCAACCCGGCCGTTGGGGAAAAAAAAAACCAGCAAGGGAGGCAGCCCCTGGCCCACCCGTTGTGACGTGGGCTGCCCCGCTGGCGCCATAGAGGGTCGCCTCTCTCCCGGCTTTCGACTGGCCGCATCCAGGCGGGCAGCAGGGAGGAAGAGCCGCGGGGTAGAGCCGCGAGGCGGGCGAGGCGGGCGGCGCGCTGGGAGCTGCTGAGACCATCGCAGTAAGGAACAGGCGCTCGGGCCATGCGGAGGAGGCAACGGCGGCACCATGGAGAATAAATATCCTTGGCTTGGAAGGAGCGAGAGGGAAGGAGGGAGGGAGGGCGCTTCCCCAACGCGTCGCCCTCCAGCTGAGCGTATGGCCCACAGCTCCCCAGATTTCCCCCAACTGGTTGACGCGGGGTCGGATGACGGCGAGGAATTCCTGGGTGGGAAGGGGTCCCAGGTTATCCGTGGGCATCACGTTGAGCGAGGATGCGCCAAGAAAGAGGTTTTAAGGTTTTAAGGTTTTAATAGATGGGTTTTAATGCATTGTAAGCCGCCTTGAGTCC